GTAGATTAGGGTACGACCTTATGTGTTAAAGTGAACAATTGAAAGTGCTGGGGGAAGGTAAAGGATAAAAGAAGAAAATCATATATAGGGGAGTATAGTTAGTAGGATGAATCTAAGTGTTGCGGAGCCTTTAAGAAGGATTGTCACCGCGTAGGGAGGTGCGCTGGACCCGGATTTGGTACGGGCCTGGCGCATCGTGGGTTATGAGAACCGGGTAACCTCCGATGAGAGCTTCACCGAGGAGCGAAGAGAATTCGCCGAGCTGTTCGCCGGTGCATCTACCACGGTTTACTACGAGTTGGAGCTTTGGAGTGAAGCGCAGCGGGCGAGGACCACTGATCTTGGCACCGTGGAATTACGCTGGACCGACCCGGCCACCGCAAGACCATGGCGCCAGCACACGTCGGTGACGGGCCAACCAGACACGAGCTTTGACTACCTGGGCGACCCCTTGACCCGGTTTGGCGCGATAGTGGCGCTTTAGTCCGACCTGTACAGCGGCATCCCAGACTTCGGCCGGCAGGAGTTCACCTACCTGCTGGGCGATATGTACTCCCTTCTGGACCAGTTGCAGGCATTGAACCGGGACCTGGGACGGATGCAGGCATACAACGATTTCTACTTCCTGCTTGAATACATTGCCGCCGACGTTGCCGATATGACGCCGGAGGGACCGAGTGGACCGGCTCCGGGTACAAACCATAGGGTAGCAACCGCCGGGCATGCGGGCGTCGGGGCAATTCCTCGCCGCCCGCCTCTCCGGGGTTAGGCAGCTACCCCTGGCCCGTACCCGTTTCTCCCCGTCGTCTTCTCTTCTCCGGCGATGGTTCGCCTGACGGAGGCCGGCCGTCGAGCAGCACAGGCACGACGGGCCCGTAGCGCCGACCATCACAAAATACTGCAGGTCGTAGCTGCCTGAAACATTGCGCATAACGGATGACAGTGTCGGACCGAGCCCCAGCGCCGCCGTCTGGAAAGGGGAGAAAATCCCCAGCAGGGACCCGTAAGACTCCCGTCCGTAATATTGGGCAAGCATCATGTTCTCCATCGAGCCCACCGCGCCGGAGAACACTCCCCAGACCAGGGCAAACGCCAGCGCCTCGGCCAGCGAGTCCACCATCGTTAGAAATGAGAGGAGCGCCCCTGCTCCCACCATCGTCACCATGAGGCAGCGACGGGGCGTGAAGCGGTCCGAGAGAACCCCCCATCCCACGTTGGCAATGGACAGCACCGTACCGAAGCTGAGCACCCCGGCAGCGGCGGCAAAGCTGAGTCCGGCCCCTTCGACCAGGTAAGGCACCAGGCTGAATCCCACGCTGCTGGACGCCAGTGTCCCCACGCAGGCGGTGGCGACGATGAGCCAGTAGGCGCGGGTCCTTGACGCCTCCCTTACCGTCCAGTTAGCCTCGGAGGGCAGAGCGGCCGGCCGCCCAGCAGCCATGGACGCGCCTCCACTGCCGGCCACGGCCCCGTCGGGAAGCAGCCCGATGTCCTCGGGCCGACGTCGCATCAACAGGACTATCGGGATGACCAGGGCTAGGCTGAATATGCCGAGATAGCGGAACCCCTCGCGCCAGGTCTGCTTCAGGGCGATCAGGGCAAACAGCTGGATGTTGATCGCACCCGCAATGGGCCGGAAGGTCGAAACCAATGCCAAGGCGATGTTCCGCCGCCTCCGGAAGAAGTTGACGGCGACAGTCCTGGGCACCAGTCCGATCAGCACCGGGTTGGACACCGCCCGCGACACAACGTAGGCGGCATAGAACTGCCATACAGCGCTAACCCCCGAAAGGCCGAGGAAGCATACCCCTGCGATCAGCAGTCCTGCGGGCATCAGCCAGCGGGGTCCGTACCGGTCTGCCATGCGCCCGATGATCGGGGCAATCAGGCCTGAGCACCAGGTTCCCGCTGTGGCGGCGTAGGAGAGAACGGTGGGGTCCCATCCGGTGTCTTGAGTTATGTAGACCTGTATACCGCCCAGCACCACTTGGGAAACGCCTGTGGCGCCGAAGGTGGCAAATGAAGAGATTCCAAGGATCAGCCAGCCGTAGTAGAAGGGCGTCCGCGGCCGCCAGTTGAAGAGACGGGTAAGCACGAGAGAGGGATTTCCTTTCCACTCAGCGCAGCCCTGAGTCCGGGGGCTGCAGCATTTCAGGGAAGATCATACATCATCTGCTCTGGCGGCGGCTTTGGGTGCGCTGAGTTTCAGGTGTGCTAAATTGTCACAGGACATTGACCTGCGAGGACGCCATGCCCATCGACCGCGAACAGGTGGTCCACATCGCCGCCCTGGCCCGCATCGGAATCACCGACGACGAGATAGACGCCTACGCCGGACAGCTTTCGGACATCATCGACCAGTTCGAGATATTGAACGAGCTGGACACTTCGGGTGTCGAGCCAACCGGCCACGCTGGCGAACTGCGGGGCGTGATGCGAGACGACACTCCAGCGGACTCGCTGCCACCGGAGGATGCTCTCAGAAACGCGCCACGCCGCGAGGGAGAGTATTTCCGGGTCAGGGCCGTGCTGGACGAATAATCCTGGCCTCCCTGGCATCAGATTACCCCACGAGCCGCCGAGCCGGCGCAAGCCTGGCCGTCGGTATGTTGAGCAGAGCAGTTGCCCGAATTTAACCCGCTTTCCATACAAGAAGCCCGAGACATGCTGGACTCCGGGCAGGTCAGCTCGGTGGAGTTGACCCAGGCGTACCTGGAGCGAATTGAGGCCGTTGAAGCACAGGTGCGCTCCTTCATCACCCTGACGCCCGAACAAGCGCTGCGCCAAGCCGAGGCTGCCGACCGCATGCTGGCTACGGGCGAGGCCTTCCCACTGACCGGCATCCCGATGCAGATCAAGGACGTGATGTGCACCGCGGGCGTCCGAACGACATGCGCCTCAAGGATGCTGGAAGACTACGTGCCCGTCTACAACGCGACCGCGGTCGACCGGCTCTTCAGCCAGGGCGCGGTGATGCTGGGCAAGGGCAACATGGACGAGTTCGCCATGGGTTCGTCCTGCGAGAACTCGGCGTTCCACCCCACTTTTAATCCGTGGGACTTGGGACGCGTCCCGGGCGGCAGCAGCGGCGGCGCCGGGGCCTCAGTGGCGTCCGGCGAGGCGGTCTACGCCCTGGGGTCGGACACCGGAGGCAGCGTACGGCAACCGGCGTCGTTGTGCGGAGTCGTGGGGCTGAAACCGTCGTACGGCACCGTCAGCCGGTACGGGTTGGTCGCTTTTGCCTCATCCCTGGACCAGATCGGCCCGGTCGGGCGCAGCGTCGCAGACTGTGCGCTGGTCCTGGAGGCCATCGCCGGCCACGACCCCAGGGACGCCACGTCACTGCCATTGCCGGAAGCCAATTACGCGTCAGGGATCGACCGGGGCGTGGAGGGCCTTCGGCTGGGCGTTCCCAGCGAGTATTTCGTGGAAGGAATCGAGGACGGAGTGCGCCGGGCCGTGGAGCAAGCCATTGCCACGCTGGAGTCCCTTGGGGCATCCGTCCGCGAGGTGTCCCTGCCTTCCACCAAGTACGCGCTGGCCTGCTATTACATCATCGCCCCCTCGGAGTGTTCGGCCAACCTGGCCCGGTACGACGGCGTGAAGTACGGCTACTCAGACCAGCAGGCCGACGACATGTGGGGCGCAATGGAACAGACGCGGCGGCACGGGTTCGGTCCGGAGGTCACCCGCCGCATCATGCTGGGCACCTTCGCCCTGTCGGCAGGGTACTATGACGCCTATTACCTGAAGGCGCAGCAGGCGCGGACGCTGATCCGCCAGGATTTCGCGACGGTGTTCCAGTCAGTAGATGCGCTGGTCACGCCAACGTCCCCAGTTGTTGCCTTCCCCGTGGGAGACAAGACCGGCGACCCGCTGCAGATGTACCTCATCGACGTCTGCACCCTGCCGGTGAACATCGCCGGGCTGCCCGCGTTGTCGGTTCCCTGCGGCTTCTCCGACGGACTACCGGTGGGTATGCAGCTCATAGGGCCGCACCTGTCGGAGCCCACACTGCTGCAGATCGGCCACGCCTACGAGCAGGCGACGGAGTGGCACAAGCGCTTTCCGGAACTGTAAGTCGACAAGATTTCCGCAATATTTAAGGGGCGCACCTCGGTGCGCCCCTTTTGCAGTTCTTGTTCGGATTTGTGCCCCGACGTCAGATCGCCAGCTTCCGCCCGGTGCAGGTCTCCATCTGGTAGTGGGTGTAGTCGCCGGACAGCTTGGAGACCTTGACCAGCAGGCTGGCGATGGGCCCGCTGTGCAGCTTCGCGTCCTGGGCCGTGGGCCGGGGCGCGCCGGTGTTGGTAATGGTGGTCTTCTCGTTAGTGGTGTGGGTAGACATCCGGGCCTCCTTCGTGGCGTGTTCGCCACCCTCACAATGCGGCTCGGCTACCGAGCCTTCCTTCCATGGACGGGGCGGGACTGCATCCTGTCCCGGGTCCCCGATTTTAGAGGGCCAGCTTCCTCCAGATGCCCGCCTCCATCTGGTAGTCGGCATACTCCTCGTTCCACTTGTTGACCTTGGCCAGCAGACGGGCGACCGGCCCGTTGTGCACCTTGACGTCCCTGACCACAGGGCGGACTTCAGAATCGCCGGTGTTGAGAGAGACCTCTGCCGGGGTAGACGTTGTCATCAAGACCTCTTTTGCGGCTGTTTCACCGCTCAGAATTGGTCACTTACCTTTCCTCTTTAGGAGCGTGTTGGCAAGTAACTAATAATAAGTTAGGTTATTATCAGCCCGCTGTCAAGGGGTTGATAGTAGCTAATTAATTTTCAGTGTGCTAGTATCGCCGAAATTCTAATGTAACGGAGACAGGACTGTCATGAAGCATCTTGAGCCCTGCCCGCGTTACGAACGTGCCATTGAGGTTCTCGGCAAGAAGTGGAACTGCCTTATCATAAGAAGCATGCTGTCGGCGCCGCGCAGATTCTCCGACATTTCCAACTACGTTGAGGGGCTCAGCGACCGCTTGCTGTCCCAGCGACTGCAGGAGCTGGAGCAGTCCGGAATTGTCGAACGGCGCGTCTATGACAGCAAACCCGTGATGGTGGAATACTCCCTCACCGAAAAGGGTCTTGGATTCCGCCAGGTCGTCGAGGCCATCCAGCGGTGGGCCGATCAGTGGGAAGCGAATCCGATGGAAGAGGCCTTGGCGCGCAAATACCAGCCCGAGGGGACCTAGAGGCAATTCTCCAGGCGGGCTTGGCAGTCCCGCTGGCGGAGCAACCCCTGGCCCACAGACCTGCGCGGGCGAGGAGGGTATCGCCGCCAGGGCACGTTCTGCTGCCAGGAGGCGACAGATGCAGCGAACCAGGATCAGCGAAATATTCTCCAGCGACTCCCCCTTGGGCGAAGTGCTGGTGCAGGGCTGGGTCAAGACTCGGCGGTCGTCCCGCGCCATCACATTCGTGCAGGTCAATGACGGCTCCACGCTGCGGGACCTGCAGGTGGTGGTCGACGAGGGGAATCCGGCCTATCCGGTCGCCAACGCCCTGTCCACCGGATGCAGCGTCAGCGTGACCGGCGAGGTCGTTGAATCGCAGGGAAAGGGGCAGCGGTTCGAAATCCAGGCCCGCGAGCTTCAGCTGGTCGGCGGTGCTGACCCGGAAACCTACCCGCTGCAGAAGAAGCGCCATACGCCCGAGTTCCTGCGTGAAATCGCTCACCTGCGACCCCGCACCAACACCTTTGGGGCCATGGCCCGGGTCCGCAGCGCGGTCGCCTTCGCCATCCACTCCTTTTTCCGTGAACGGGGCTTCCAGTACATCCAGACGCCGATCATCACTGCAAGCGACGCCGAGGGCGCCGGCTCCATGTTCCGGGTAACCACACTAGACCTCAACAACCCACCCCGCCGTGAGGGCTCGGTGGATCTTGGGGAGGACTTTTTCGGCCGGCCCACATTTCTCACCGTCAGCGGACAGCTGGAAGCCGAAATTTTCGCATTGGCCCTGTCCAACGTGTACACTTTTGGCCCAACGTTCCGGGCCGAAAATTCCAACACATCGCGGCACCTCGCCGAGTTCTGGATGGTGGAGCCGGAGGTCGCATTCTGCGAGTTGGACGGGCTGGCCGAGCTGGCAGAGGACTTCCTCAAGTACATATTCGGCCACGTCCTCGAAAACTGCGACGAAGACATGCAGTTCTTCAATCGCTGGTACAACGAGGAGATCATCAGCACCCTCAAGGGCATCGTCGATTCCCGGTTCGAACGAATCACCTATACCGAGGCGGTCGACATGCTCCTGCAGTCCGGGGAGTCCTTCGAGTTCCCGATAAGCTGGGGTGTTGACCTGCAGTCGGAGCACGAACGGTACCTCACCGAAAAGCGCATCGGCCGGCCCGTCATAGTCACCGATTACCCCAAGGAGATCAAGGCCTTTTACATGCGACTGAACGACGACGACCGGACGGTAGGGGCCATGGACGTCCTGGCGCCGGGTATCGGCGAGATCATCGGCGGCAGCCAGCGCGAGGAACGCGGCGATGTGCTGCTGAGGCGATTGCGGGAATCGGGGCTGAACGAAGAGGAATACTACTGGTACCTCGACCTGCGAAACTACGGAACAGTCCCTCACGCCGGCTTCGGATTGGGATTCGAGCGAACGGTGCAGTTCATCACGGGCGTGTCCAACATCAGGGACGTAATTCCCTTCCCCCGGACTCCAAAGAACGCAGAGTTCTAGGGATCGATTGTGGCAACATCTCGCGACAGCCGCTCCCTCGCGACGGCCCTGTCTCCCGACAGTTCCGCCGTTAAGCCAGCCATCCAGAACCTTCAAACCATCTACAGCGACTCCGAATCCCTTGCCCCGGTCAACAACTGCTATCGGTTCTGGGTGGCCAACCGCCCCTTCGACGCGGATACCAGCCCGGACCTATTCATCCGGCACACCTGCCTGGCTATGCTGTGCAGACTGATGGCCTACCGCTTTCTCGAGCCCCGGCCGACGGATCGGGTCCTCTGGGAAGTGATGAGCGGTGACTATTTTGCCGGGGCCGGACTGAGCAATTTCCTGGGGGAGGACTTTTTTTCGTGGCCCTTCTTCCGGCTGTCGATGGGGATCGGAGACGACGCGTTTTCCTTGGAGACAGCCAAGTCACTGATGGGAGCCCTCGAGTTGCTCCACCTGGACCAGCCGGACGTGGAACTCCTATCCAGCCTCTACCAGGAGTTTCAGGGGGCGGACGGCAAACCCTGCCCGCAACTGGATCTGTCAATTTTCGAAGGCAATCCGTCGCAGACATGCATTGGCCCGTACTGCGGCGATGGGAACTCGCTCTCCCGGATGGTTCGGGCGGCGCTGGATGCGCGCCTAACTGCCGGCCAGATTCCCCCGGACGCATTGCTGGAAGTATCCGGGCAGTTCATTGGCATGACTTCCGACCCCCTTGGGGCCAACCTCGCCAGCGTGGCCTTCCTCGTGGCCCTGGGAGAGGAAGTCATCGAGCCGCACCCTCCCATTCTAATTCCCGTCTACATGGCGCACGGAATCAATTTGCCCACTGAGAGAAAGGACGGCGACGGCTCCAGCATCTACATCATTGATTCGGCTGGGGGGGCCACTTTGCCTGAGCGAGTGGCCACTGACCCGCTGTACCTCGACTGGCTGTTCGGCCGCCTGCCCAACTACCTGCGGGGCGCTGCGCTGCGGCTTCGGGCACAACCCGAGGACGTGGCGGTGCAGGAGGTGTTGAACGCCTGGTACAACTACCTTACCTCGCCCAAGGCCCGTACTCCCATTCCAGACCCGCTTACCCCGGAGGCGGCCGACGTGATGGTCGAGGCCGCACGGATACTGATCCTTCAGTACGTCGGCGGTTCTGGGCCTGGACCCCTTCACCTGGTGAGGAACGCGCCCGCTCCGCTGTTCGCATCTAAGCGGTCTTTTGACATGCTGCTATGGCCGGCGGAGATCGCCAGGGACGACGATCTGAGATCCATCTGTGCCGCCCGATTCCTGGGAGACGACGGCCAGATCGTTGCGGCCTGACTGCAACGCGGTCTGATCAACAATATGGCAATTCACGTGGTTTGCCGCCAGGCAATTCGCCACTCTCGTGAAAGCCTGTCCTAATCCCACAAAGGCACATTACACAATGCCATCGCTTCAGGCTGTGCCATCTTCCAACAAGGCCAGCTTCTCCTGGAACAGCGCGATGGCCCGCTCCTCCGGCACTCCCAGGAAGAACCTGAGTCCCTGAACGTATTCCAGTATCTCCCTGGGAAGCATGAGCAGGTCGTCCCGGGGTCGGGTTGCCTTGTAGAGATTGTTGAGCCAGTCCTCCTGCCCGACGAAAAGGGCATCCTCAAGCACCACGAAGTCCCGTCGCTCCATCTCTGCGCTGGCCATCCATCGGGAGAATACGAAGGGCAGCCCGGTCCACGTCTGCCATTCCTCACCCAAGTCGTACAGGTGCAGGAAGCCGCGCAGCCGCCGACGGCTGCGCAGGGCTTGGTTGCCCGTTAGAAGGGTAGCATCGTGGTCCGATTGCTCATCGACGAAAGTCTCCCCGCCTACCCCGTGCTTCAACGTGAGCAGCACCCGAAGCAGCCCTGCCGACGCGGCGTCGCCGTTGCCCAGAGCAATGCGACTGCCGCTCAGGGCATCTATGGGCTCCTTGGAATGGAGTGCGCTGGAAATAGCCCTGGCAGCCGACGCAACACAGAATCCGCTGATGAGTGTGGCCTTTGGCGACAGCCGGAAAGTGTCAACCAACGGTACCGGCCCGGCGTCTATATCACCCTGTTCCAATGCCTCAGCCACTGTGTTGGGTTCCATGTTTCGCAACTCAATGCCTCGGCGCTCCATGTCGAAATAGAACGCCTCGCATTCGAGGTTGGGTATGCGGGCTACAGTGATGGGCATGGGAAAGACCAACCCCTGAAAGAGCGATGGATGGGTATCCTTGGGTGTTGTCCTTGGGCGGTATGAGCAGGCGGTTCTACAAACTGCGACACTGAGAAGACCCCCGCTCATTGCCGGAAAAGCCGCGGATAGAGGCTCTCGTCCGGTCTGTTGCGCCTTCCCAAGGGGTCCGGCGCCGTCAGGGGCTACAGCCGAGGGCCCATGAAAGTGGTGGGTTGCTTGCGATATACCTGGATGCGGTTGCGAGGTCCTTCGCAGACGAACACCGTGTTGGAATCGTCCACCTCAACCCCGGTGGGGGCCCAGAAGTCCTTTTCCCGCTCCAGTCCCGGCGCGCGATCGCGTTCTTCCCACATCTCCGAGTTTGCGTCCAACTTGTCCTTGCCCCATTTGGAGATGGTCGCATCACCGGTCTTGAGGGCGGCAAAGTGGCCATCGGGATCAAGACCTGGAGGCGGTCGTTCAACCAGTCGGCGACGTAGATGATGCCATCCTTGTCAACGGCGACGTCGGTGGGGCGATTGAATTCGCCTTCGCCCGACCCGGAAGAACCGAACTTCATCAGGAACCGGCCATCGGCCGTGAACTTCTGTATCCGGTCATTACGCCAGTCTGCGATGTATATGTTCCCCTGCTTGTCCAGGGAGATACCCCAGGGCATATTGAACTCGCCGTCGCCATCGCCGTAGGTCCCGAACTTGGCCAGAAACTTTCCTTCGGGAGTAAACTTCTGGACTCGGTGGTTCATGCTGTCGACGACGTAGACGTTATCGTCCTGGTCGATGGCCAGCCGGCAGGCCGGTCTAGCTCGCCATCCCCGTTGCCGACGCGCTCATCCCACTTGCCGATGTAGTCCCCATCCCTCGTGAACATGGATATCCGGTGCACCCATTCATCGGACACGTAGACGTTGCCATTGCTGGCGACGGCCACGGACACGGGCCAGACCAGGGAACCATCGTCGAAGTTGTACTCGTGGGGCCCCTGCTGGGCGACGCCGCGGGCAAAGGCGTTGACGTACTCCTCGTCAACGGTGCAGACCGTGATGCGGGTGCCCTCGGGCCGGTATTCCGGCGACCGGCACAGGACGTACATCAGGGTGTCCTCACCCCGGGCCATCTGGATCGGGTAGGTGAAACCCGGCCCGAACTGCTCGCCACGCCCGATGGTGTGGCTGTATTGAAGTTGTACGTGAGAAATTCTGGTGGGGGTGGTCATAGTTACCTCACTGCGCCTGGCTAATGAAGTCCATCTGCTCGAAGGAGCCGTTCACTATGGGCTTGGCATCCAGGCCCATCCACTTCTCCAGAAGGGCGGAGTAGAGGCCACGGAAGTCGTTGTTGAATTGCAGGTCCCCCTCCAGCAGCTTGTCCGCATCCAGTGACGGATATTCACCGTAGAGGCCGCCCTTGACCGACTCGCCCACCACGAAGGCCACGCCGCCCGACCCATGGTCAGTGCCGGAGCCGTTGTCGTGGACCCTGCGTCCGAACTCGGAGAAGACCAGCAACACCACGTTGTCTCCGGCGTCGTGCTCCTTCAGGTCGTCGTAGAAGTCGGCAAACGGCTTGAGATGTCTCGGTCCACAGCCTGGTGTGGTTCGCCAGTTCTCCGGCGTGGGTGTCGAAGCTGTTGTAGGGCGCGGTGGTATACAGCACCCTGGTGCCCAACCCCGCCAGATGCACCTGGACGATGTTGCGCATGTACTGAGCAACGTCGTCCTTGCCGTATTCCACGGTCGAGGAATACATGCCGGGGGCGGTGCTGAGAATGTCGGCCCCTTCCAGGGCGTCCAGGCCGTCTGGGCCAGGTAGTCCATCACCGGGCCCGTGCCGAGCATCGGCGAGTAGACCCGGGAGAAACACGTCGAGAGCCTTGGTCCGCTGGTCTTCGACCTCGATCCCGGTGAGCACACGTAGGTCTCCAGGTTGCCCACCGAGGCCACCGGCACGCCGGGGGCCACCAGGGACCTCGGCAGGCCCCTGCCGAAGTTGACGCCGGTCAGCACGTTCTCCTTCCCTGGGTCAGAGTCGCGCAGGTCCGGCCCAGCCAGCCCTCGTCGCCCACTTCGTCCGGCTCGCAGGTGTGCCAGATGTCCATGGAGCGGAAGTGGGAGCGGCTCGGGTTGGGGTATCCCACCCCCTGGATGATGGCGACCTTGCCCTCATCGTACAGGCGCTTGATCGGCCCCATCGACGGGTTGAATCCGATCTGGTCGTTGATCGGGATGACCCTGTCTGTCTCGATCCTCACGTTGGGCCGGTTGTCCAGGTACAGCGGGGTTGCTGTAGGGGATGATGGTGTTCAGGGCGTCGTTCCCCCCCGACAACTGGAGGACCACCAGCACCGGGTCTTTCTTGGTGCTTGTCATTTCTTTCCCTTCCTTTGTTATGCGAATAGGTACTCGGTGGTGGCCACAATGGACTGCAGCATCTGGCCGACCCGCTGGCCGAACTCCTCGTGCCAGTCCGCAACTCGCCTTCGCTGCGGGCCAGGGACACCAATTCGTTGTGGGTGACTTCAGCCAGCTCGTAGGCTCCGAGCAATTCCAGGCAGCCGTCGACCAACTGCTCCGGCGAGATGACTTCTCCCTCCGAACTCAGGCGGTTGATGATCGACCGCACTCCGCGATGGGAGATATTGCCCACGGCATCGGCGGTGAAGTTGATGCGTTCGACCAGGGTGCCGCTGTCGATCCACTCCCTGCCGGTATGCCAGCCCTCTACCGTTGGAGGGTTGAGAAGGTCCTGGCCCATGTAACGAATGGTCAGGGTCATGGCGTTCATGCCGGGCTTGGGAAGGTCGAAGTCGCCGACCAGTCGCATGGTCCCCACCACGGTCTCGGTGGGACTCTTGATCTTGGTGAAGCGTGCTTCCTTGAAGAAGTCGGAGTTGAACAGCACCCGAAGCATCGAGCGGATGTTGTAATTGGAGCGGAAATACTCCTCTTCCAACATCTTGATGGCCTCGGGATTCCTCGGTGGCGTGTTCTGCCACGCCGGCACCTGGGGCTCGTCGGCGACGAAGAAGTTGTACAAATGCCGGGCGATGAATCTGGCGGTGCCGGGCTGCCTGGCGACGATCCTGACGATGTCCTCGCCGTTCCAGTTGCCCGTTTCTCCCAGGAAGGTCTTTTCGCCATAGTCGTGGTCTGACGGGTCGTAAATGAAGGCGGCCTCGTACTTGCCATAGGGGTACCTGGGGATCGAGTTGGTCACCGTCCAACCGGTGAAGGCGCGGGCGCATTCCTTGACGTCGTCCTCGGAATAGTTGGCCTGCCCGTCCATGCCGACGCCCATGGAGAAGAGCTCCAGAAGCTCGCGGCCCCAGTTCTCGTTGATGGCGTCCTTGTGGCTCATGCAGTTGTCCAGGTAGAACACCATTGCAGGGTCGGCGGACAGACCCAGGAGCAGGTCATGGAAGTTGCCCATTCCCATGGTTCGGAACATTTCGAATTCAATCTGCTGCTGCCTCGGGTACTCGCACTTGGCGTGGCCGGTGACGAATATCTGGTGCCAGAAGAGGGTGATCTTCTCTTCCAGCGGGCGCTTGGTATTGATCATCCGGAAGGTCCATTCTTCCTGCTGGCCCTCCAGTCCCGCCTGGGACACCCACTGCGGCTGATAGCGCATCAACACGTCGCGCTCGATAGCGGGCTGCGTGTCGGGATGCAGCAACTCCTCCACAGTGGCCTCGTAGCCCTTGGCGGCACGGGCCTCCAGCTCTTCATACGTCGCTCCCGAAAACCGGCGCGGCGCATCAAGTGGGCCATTAAAGCGATATCCTTGTCTGCCATTCTTTCTCCTCCTGAGCTCATATCCTCGTGTTTTTTACAGGCAACTCGCCAGTGATTACGGTTTTCTATCGTTTTTTCTTAAATTTCAGGCGGTATACCATTATTTTTGCTTGGTTCACGCGCCATTATATACGGTGTTTATAGCTAGCGAAAGCGTCCTGAACCAAGGCCAAGGCCAAGCCGAAATCCACATTCCCGAGCGATGCTCAAGGAAGAGTCAATCCCGCATAAGCGACGCTCTCTCGGAAATACATTGAGACCGTTCCGACGCCGCCACCGTGCATCCCTCAAATGCGCGTTCTCCCACGAATTCAGTTCAGTACTCGGTCAAAGTTGAAGGGTCACGATAGAGGCAACGGATCTTGATTCCGGCACCCTCGGCGTTGAGACGCCAATTGACGGTGAGTCCGGCCTCGATACGCTCCGCCGTATGAGGCTAATGTTCCTTTCCCAGTATAGTCGTCGGGGTCGACGTTCAGCGAAATGGTCCTCGCTGAATGGCCAGCAGAAACTGGGATGCCTCAGGCAGTGTGGTCAACACCCTGTTTCGTTTGCTCATAGCGTCTGTGCGCCACCGCTCTCCAGTTCCTATACGCTGTAAGAATTCGGAAACTATGGACAGGAGCGCACATGATTTCCTGTGGCGCACGTCGGTGGCTTCCACCCATTTGCCTGGTAGCCCTGATCGCTGCCGTTTGTGTGTTGCCCTACCGTCCCGACTGCGACTCCCTGGCGTGGGGTGAAGACCCGGCCATAGCCCGCATCGAGAGCCAGTGTATCCTCCTTTCCCATTATGCCAACTCGCTCCACATCGTAGAAAAAACCATCGAAAACGCGGAATTCCTGTTGCTCTTTGATGAACTCGCCTCCTCTGATCGCCAGCGACGGTGGAACGACCGTGTCAACTTCTACGGCCCCGAAACCCTCGCGCTTGCAGGTGCCATCAGGGACTCTGCCCTCTATCAGGGTGCGGTTGCCGACGGACATGCTCCTTCCCAGGAAGAGGTCTCGGTCCGCCTCGACCGGGACCGGCTCCGGTGGGAGAGTTTACACGACGTCGTTCAGTTGGCGAGGTTGGCGCAGAATCAGGACCTTGCCGGATTCACGAAACTGGCGGCAGAGACAAGGCACCCCGACATTAGAGGGTCCCTCAATGACCAGACTCCGTCTGAGCTCATGCAGGCCATGGGCGGGAACGACTGGCGCCAACTGGAGCAAGCGCTGAGAGAGGGAGAGGCTTACATCGAATCCTTTGGCCACCAACGCTACTGGAAGGAAATACTCCCAGCGAACCTGCGCCGCGAAATGGCAACACTCAAGCTGGAGGCGGCGGTGTTGGAGGCCAGCGCCAACGGTCCTGACGGTCCTCAGGCAGATGTGCCCCGCCTGGCGTGGCTGGCGTACCAGGAGAAGGCGTTCGAAGGACTGACCATCAAACTAACGCGTGCCGCTCCCTCGACTGTTTCGGTTGATGGTGCCCTGGCTTATCTGGCGGAAGTTCTACAGGAGGAACAAGACGAACTCAGTGAGGTATATAGAAGGCGATTTGGACGGCGCTAGGAAAGACGGCGATCAGCCCCGTCGCCTCTGGGTCCGAACCCCAACTGAAGTCTCCCCGGCCCAAGCCACGCCGTTCGGCATGAGCGGCTTGACCCTGTTTCCCAAGGGGCCGTGAACACCTTTCACCAGTTCTGATTTCTTTTAGCGTATTCAAACTGGAACGCGATGGTGCACACACGCTATAAGCAAACAGAACCCAACACCCTGCTTCGCGGCCGGGATGACCCCCACAGCTACTCCCTGCTGGTCCAGGGCATCCCTCGGAAGCGGGAATCCAAACCCCCGCCACACCCGAGATATGAGGAGAGGGGCCGCCATCTACCCCATCCGTCCCTCCGGTGCAGACCCATCCCCAATCTTCATTCCCGCACCCTCAATCGTCATTCTCGCGGAAGCGGGAATCCAAACCCCCGCCACACTCGAGATTTGAGGAGAGGGCCGCAATCTACCCCATCCGTCCCTCCGGCGCAGGCCCATCCCAAATCGTAATTCCCGCACCTCCAACCGTCTTTCCCGCGAAAGCGGGAATCCAAACCCCCGTCACACCCGCAACAGCAAGGGCCGGTCCGGAAACCCACGGCCCCAAGCCTCCGAGCAAGCCCGTCCCCCGATTTGCTGACACTTGCCCCTTTACAAGCCTCATGACACATCTCTAGCCTGAATACATAGAAATACAACCGCTGCCGCAGGCCGGATCCCAGCACGGAGTCGCGCGCAACTCCCAAGGGCAAAGGGCAAAAATGATCGGAAATGCTCGGTTTTGATCGGAAATAAGGGGATTATCAAAATTTTCGGAAACCACCAGGAGGCTGAACCATGTCGTCGCGCCATATGTCGTTGCGCCAGATCAGGAACGGCGTCGAGGCCCTCAAACGCAAATTCGCCCCGGAGCTCGCCATCATACGGCTCAGCCGCGTCGCAAATGAGATCACCGAACTCTGGCACATCGCCATTGCAAACAAGCAGCCCAAACCCGACCCCTACGCCTGCGTCCGCAAGGTGGCCGACGCCGGCTTCCGGCTCAACACATATATGGCCTTCGAGAAATACCTCCAGCGTTGTATCGACGATGATAGGCGTCCTGTAATAAGGGGAATCATCACCACCCTCCTCCCCTGGGCCGCCAATGGTTCCTGGCTGAACAACCTGGAACGCAATATCCCCGGCACCGCCTGATCCCCGCTCACGGAGAGCCTGTCGAACCAAGAGCCTACCGGACCACGGGGCCGCCACTCAACGCTCGGAAACGCTCGGAAATGAGTGGGAATAGCAAATTCTTCAGCACCCAACCGCCATACCCGCGAGAGCGGGGACCCAAGCCCCCATTACCCACCCAATGACAGGAAATGTCAGCGAATGTCAGCGATTTCCATACCCCTAACACTAAGCAGACCCCAACCCGACAACCCAGTGGCCCGAGCACCTTACCGTCATCCCCGCGATCTTTCGTCATTCTCGCGAAAGCGGGAATCCAAACCCCCGTCACTAAGTGCATCAAAAACGGAATTCGGGGCCCGCCTCGAAACCCCGCCCCCAAATGAGACAAATAAAGAGATTTCCGTAGCTAACGCGAGACACTCATAAGCGTGCAAAACCCAACCTGAAGGCCCAGGGCAATCGCGTCTTCAACGCAGGAGGCCCGATAAGTCGTCTTTCCCGCGAAAGCGGGAATCCAAACCCCCGTCTACCCTCGCACCCGGAACCGAAGGAGGCACTGCCACTCCCATACCCACCGCCATTCAGACCCATTTTGTGTGCTGATAAATAAGACGCGATTGCCCTGCTGTGCGTCGCTGCAATTGACGGCATTTCCGGCCCGTGAATATAATGAGGCATCCTGCCATCATCTTGTGTCCCTGTTTGGGAACGTCGGCGGGATTCCCCTCAAGCTCGGAAAAGGAGCCGGAATGACTACTCACGAGGTCGTACTCCACCCTTCCTCGGTTGTCGAGGAACTCAAGAAGAACAACATCAGCCACGTGGTCTGGCTGCCTGACAGCGAGACCAATTTCATGTACCAGCTGCTCACCAACGAGCCGTCGCTGGACTTGGTCCCGGTCTGCCGGGAAGGTGAGACGATGGCCATTGCAGCCGGCCTGTGGGTCGGCGGCAAGCGCCCCATCGTCCTGATCCAGAACACCGGCATTTTCGAGTCGGGAGACTCGATCAGGGGACTGGGACTGGACGTGAATCAACCGCTGGTAATGCTGGTCGGCTACCGCGGCTGGAGCCGCCACGGCATCACCACCGACTCGGCGGCCCGATTCATCGAGCACATACTCCACGCCTGGGGCATCAATTACTACCTGATTGAGACTGACGAGGATGCCGATCGCATCAGCGTCGCCATTGCGGAAGCAGAACGCACCCAGAGACCGGTGGCAGTGCTCGTGGGCACCGAATTCGGTTCTTAGACGGTGCAGGCATTGGAAGACCCTATCCTAGCCGTCTCCGACACGGAGATGGGTTCTGAGGAAACAGCCTTATGATTGACAATCAGGAAGCAGTCAAAGTTATCGACGCCAATCGTGGCGATGGCGTAATCATCGCCACCATGAACGCCAACAACGTCCGGTTCGGGCTGCCAACGGTTACCACCCAGGAACAGCTTGATATGCCGGTGTCGGGAGCCATGGGCAAGGCCGCCAACGTCGGCTTGGGCCTGGCGCTGGCGCAACCTAATCGCAAGGTGATCGTGCTGGACGGCGACGGCAGCTTGCTCATGAATTTGGGCGCAATGGTCACCCTCGCCAACAAGACCCCGAAAAACCTCTGCCACATGGTGTTCGACAACGGGGTCTATGCAGTGACCGGTGGACAGCCCGTGCCGGGATCAGGCAAGGCTGACTGGGAAGGGCTGGCCAAGGCCGCCGGCTATGCGGCCACCTTCTCCTTCGATAACCTGGAAGACCTGACCACGGGCATCGCAGAGGCCATGGCGGCCACCGGCCCCGTCTTCGTGCATCTGCAGGTAACCCCGCAGATCGAAAACACCCCCGTGCAATTCCGGCAACGGGGCCGCCGAAGTATGCAGACGGCCATAGACGAACTGCCGGAGATCTTTGCCAAGGCCTAGCGATCCTCTTCGGCGGGTGAGTCACAATTCGTCGCACTATTGGGGCAGGCTTTAGGCCTGCCCCGCCCCATATCATGCGCACCCCGCCAAACCAGCAGGTCTCAACGGCGCGAAGTCGCGATGTTCCGGAGGACTGAATAGATGCTTGGAGGCTTGGGTAAGGGCCTGCTGCTGCGGCTGGGTTCCTACGCCCTGTTTCTATGGGGATTCTGGATGCTGTTCCAGGCATTCGAGCGTTCTCATATCGGCTTGGGCTTATTGGGCGGAGCCGCCATTCTCGCGGCAATGTGGGCAATGGTGGGTTTCAGACGTCCTCCCTCAATCAATCCCGGCTCTCGACGCAGCGACCGTGACTCTGCCTCATCCGACGAGTCGAAACCGTGAGCACTCACTCATCTGACAGCCGACCGTCGCCCGGAATTCCCTACGCCGAGGCGGCCCGCGCCGTAAGCTACCACCGCGGAGATGCGCTCGTCGTATCGACCTCCGCCGCGTTGCGGGAGTGGAGCAGAGTCTCGGAGCGGCGGGAACTCGACCTTGACCTGATGGACTGCATGGATCGTGCCCCCGCGGTGGGACTGGGACTGGCCCTGGCCCAGCAATCGGGCAGGGTGCTGGTGCTGGACTGCGACGCCACCCTGCGCACCAACCTTGGCGGACTCGCCACCATCGGGGAATCCCAGCCCTCGAACCTGGTGCACTTCGTGTTCGACGACGCGTCTCGCGTCTCGACCTCGGGAGTTCCCATCAAAGAACTGGACCACCTCGACCTCGTCAAAATGGCGGAGAGTTCCGGCTATTCTCACACCTACCATTTCGACCGCATCGAGGAGATGCTGATCGGTCTCGAGGAGGCCATGCGGCAGCAGGGGCCGGTGTTCATCCTGGTGAGCGTTTTCCAGGACAGTGAGGTCCCTGAGTTTCCCGAGCGCACCATGGCGGATGGCTGGGCCGAACTGCGGGACCGCCTGACGGCGGGAGGAAACGACAAAACGCCGACAACCCATAGAGGGTTTCGGCGCCTCCAGGAATACTGGACCCTTGGCGTTACGCTGGACGAACCACGATCTGGTGGGCAACGGCGTAGCTCATCGATACCGGGCCCTGCTGGGTGCCAACCTCCATAACCCCGAGAAAGGGTGTGGAGTCCGCCACGTTTATCTCCCGCTCCGGGACGATGTGCGAGTCGTCCAGGAACTTGAGCAGCTGAGGATCTTCCTCGGGCACCCGCTCCACGATGTAGGAATTGCCCTTGACCGCTGTGTCCAAGGTCAGCGAATTGGGTGGAATCTTCGGTTCGCCCGTGCCGGGAATGGGCCTGCCGTAGGGTGAACGCCTGGGATTGTCCAGCCGCTCCACCAGCTTCTCCATCAGTTGAGGCGACATCCCATGCTCCAGGCGGTGGGCCTCGTTATGGGCCTGGTGCAGCTCCATGCCCAGCAGACTGACCACCATCCATTCCGCTAGCCGGTGGCGCCGGGCGATGTCCTCCCCGCCTTCCATGCCCTGCCTGGTGAGGCGAATGCGCTTGTCGTTGCCAATGTCCACAAGGTGCTGCCTGGCCATTCGGCGGACCATCCCCGCCACCGAGGGCACCGACGTACCCAGCCCCTCTGTGGGCGGAAGGCGCCGCAGCACGTCTGTCAAATTGGGTGATGGTGGGAAACTCGTCGTCCTCCCAAAGACGGTACAGGCACAACAGGTAGTTCTCAGTACCGGGAGACAAGCGGTCGTTCTGATTCTCGGCCTCCTCCGCTTCGCTACGGGTTGGGCCCTTTCTGGGTCGTGGCATGGATTCCTCAAGAACGAAAATTCCGCGCACTCATTGCCCAAGACCAGCGACGGCACACAAAAAGACGCCAAAAAAGTATACCAGAATCAACTGAAGACCCCGGGAGGAGAGAGGGGAATCAGTGGCAGCCGCGAGATGGCTGCGCTAACCGTCCATCAACGAACAGCCGAGTCTGATGGCCTTCACGCAGACGAACAGAAACGGAAGCACCATCGGGCAGGTCTACAATGTGGGACATCAGGCACCGTACCTGGCGGCCCGATGCCAATTGCAGCCTGTAAAGATAGAAGGCGCCACGAAACTCACGGTCGACAACAAGGGCAGTACCATCTTCGTCAGCAGCGCACTCGAGACAGTCGGGGCGAATCATGATTTCCAGGTGGGTCGAAGCGCCCCCAAGGGAAACAGAGGGAATATCGATGCCCTCCAGAATCCCCAGCTCACTGGTCATTACGCCGCCCGCAACACTCACGGGCAGGAAGTCCACAGTCCCAAGGAATTCGGCGGCGTATTTGGTTTCCGGAGAGTGAAATACCCTGGCTGGAGAACCCGTCTGTTCCACCTGCCCTTCATTCATTAGGGCGACCTCGTCGCCAACATGGAGGGCCGCTTCCTGGTCGTGGGTCACAAACACCGCAGTAACGCCGCTGGCCCGGAGAATTGTCGCAACATCGCGCCGCAACTGTTCCGCGAGTTTGGCATCGAGGTTGGAAAAAGGCTCGTCAAGCAAGAGGATGTCGGGTCTGGGGGCGAGAGCCCGGCCTAGAGCGACACGTTGCTGCTGACCACCCGACAGCTCATGGGGCAGGCGCTGCCGCATTTCCGACAGTCCAACCAGTTCCAATGCCTCTGCGATTCGCGTGGCCCGGTCCTGCTGCTTCCTGAGCCCGTAGCCCACATTCTGTTCAACCGTGAGGTGCGGGAAGAGGGCCCCTTCCTGGAAGACCATACCGATGCGGCGCTTTTCCGGTGGAATGGTGCCCACGAGAGAGCTGACTACGTGGCCGCCAATGCTGATTTCACCCTCGTCCGGCTGCTCGAACCCAGCGATAAGCCGCAGGGTGGTAGTTTTTCCGCACCCACTGGGCCCCAGCAACGCCAGAATCCGGCCAGCATCGGCTGTCAGTTCCAGCCCGACAACGGCCTGAACGGTACCGTATCGTTTGGACACGCCCGAACAGCGAAGGGCCACACCCTCCCTGGTTTCGGCATTCTCTGCAACGCCAGACACAGAGGCTGTTCTCTTTATATTGGCGCCGCTTACCATCTGCTCATGGCCTGCCCGATTCAACTCTCGTCAATTGCAATTAGGATTATACGTCAAGGAATAGACAATATAACAGAAGGGACGAACGGCTATGAGTGTAGGCATTTGATCTCAGCGTGTCAATTCATCCTACAAACTCGCGGTGAGCGGCGGAACCCGTCTCGTTGGGCCGGGGAACTGCCGGGACGACACCCTTGTCTAGATACTCGACCAAGGGTGTTTTGGAGGAATGCGGCTTTGGCCGTCTGGGCAAAATTCACGGAATTACACTTACTACGTGGGCTGCCATATCCGCCTCGGGGTGTTGCACGCATTAACCATAAGTAATCGTTTATACTTTGCGCTGGATACGCTTGGCCCAACACTACAGGCTAAACAGAACATTCCGCTTGATAAGAACGCCGACGGAATCTATTGGCGCAAGATATCTCGCCATTGGTTAGTGTTGGGCATTTTTCGGTCGGTGGTCGCATTGAAGAGTCCACTCTCCTTACCCGACAGCTTGTTGGCATCGGCGGTCCTGAGGAACTCTCCTCCGATGGTTCTGCTGGTCCCTGCTCTGATCGTTGGGGCCGCGCTCCTCTTGCCCCCCGTATACCTGGCAGTGAGAGCCCTCGGTGCAGGTGAGGAGCTTTGGGATCTCCTGTTCAGAACCAAAGTGGCAGGCATCATGGGCCGTACTTTGCTCCTCGTCGCAACGGTCAGCGCCGCCTCGGTCCTAATTGCGGTGCCCCTGGCCTGGCTAACAGCCCGAACTGATCTGCCTTGGCGAAGGGCATGGGCGGTCATTACGTCCCTGCCGCTGGTGATTCCCAGCTACGTCGCCGGGTTCATTGTAGTCGTGGCCCTAGGCCCGCGGGGCATGCTGCAGGGAGCGCTTGAGGGACCATTCGGCGTGGACCGTTTGCCCAGCATCTACGGACTCGCCGGAGCCTTTCTCACATTAACGCTCCTCAGCTACCCCTACGTACTGATTACGGTAAGGGCCGCCCTGCAGAGGATGGACCCAGCGTTGGAGGAGTCGGCCAGAGGACTTGGATTGGGACCAGTCGCCACCTTTTTCAGAGTGGTTGTGCCGTTGTTGCGGCCCGCTATCGGAGCGGGGGCGCTGCTGGTGGGACTGTACACGCTGAGCGACTTCGGTGTGGTCTCACTCCTCCGCTATGAGACGTTTACTTGGGCAATCTTTACCCAGTACGACTCCGCTCTTGATCGCACCCTGGGGGCCGGCCTCTCCCTGGTGCTGGTAGTCCTTGCCCTGGCATGGGTGGCACTGGAGTTTGTGAGCCGGGGCCGCAGTCGATACTACTCGACTTCGTCGGGAACATCCCGCCCACCATCTATCGTCCCCTTGGGCAGGTGGCGCTGGCCTTCCATTGGATTCTGCGGCCTGATTGCCGTGGTCTCGCTCGGGCTTCCGGTAGGGATTCTGCTCTACTGGGTCGTTCGGGGCGTGGCTGCCGGCGAGGCTCTGGACCCACTGTGGACCGCCGCCCGCAACTCGGTTTACATCTCCGCGTTGGCAGCACTGGCAGCGACAGCCGCGGCACTGCCCATCGGGCTGCTATCGGTCCGGCATCCCATGGGCGGCTCCAAGTGGGGACTGCTGAGCGGATTCCTGGAACGGCTTGGTTACGTCAGCTTTGCCCTGCCCGGAATCGCCATCGCGCTGGCGCTGGTATTCTTTGGCGCTAACTATGCGGGGGTGCTTTACCAAACCGTTGGACTATTACTGCTGGGATACGTCGCGCTGTTTCTTTCTCCGGCGCTGGGCGCGGTGCGGACGACACTGCTGCAGATTAATCCCCGCGTCGAGGAGGCAGCCAGGAGCCTGGGACGCTCACCGCTGGGCGCCTTCACGTCTGTGACCTTTCCATCGGCGCGGCCGGGAATCGTGGCGGGGGCTTCATTGGTGTTTCTCTTGACGATGAAAGAACTGCCTGCGACCCTGATTTTGAGCCCCACAGGGTTCAGCACGCTGGCGACTTCGGTCTGGTCGTTTACCGCGGAGGCTTTCTTTGCCCGGGCCGCAATGCCAGCGCTTCTGCTCATCATCTTATCCGGTGTGCCGCTGGCTCTGCTGATGGTGCGGGAGAGGCGTTAGCCCGGGATGAGTTATAATCGCCGCTGGTTAAACCTCGAATTCCGGCACTCTCACCTTGCCGCTCCCAGGGCCACGCAGGAGAAGGGATCTTGTCCGAATCAAACAGTCCATTGACCGTTATCCTGCCCGGCAGGCTCATTGACGGCGTCGCTACATCTCCGCAAGAGGGTATGGCGGTCGGATTCAGTGAAGGCCGGATCCTGTGGGTCGGACAGCGGGGCGAAGTTGAGAGCTCACAGAGCGATGTCCCACGGGAGGTGCTGGAATTTCCCGACGCCACCCTGATGCCCGGCCTGTTCGATCTGCACACCCATACGAACATGCCCGGGGACGGGCGCACGGGGGAGGAGGTCGACAGCGACGACTCGGACGACGTCAGGTTCTGCGCTCGGCCCGCAACGTGGGCGATCACCTCGCGACAGGAGTCACCACCCTGTGCGACTGCGGTTCATGGAACAGCACCGCCTTCTCCCTGAAGGAGGGACTGTCGCAGGGATTGGTGAACGGCCCACTAACCCTGGTTTCCGGGCCGCCCCTAACTATCACCGGCGGGCACCTGTGGTTCATGGGCGGGCAGGTGGACGGTGTCGACGGCATTCGAGCCACAGTCCGGCAACGGGTCAAGGAAGGCGCCGACTTCATCAAGGTCGCGGCTTCGGGCGGTAGCACCCTGACCAGCGATCCCTTCCGTGCCTCCTTCAATCTCGAGGAACTGACCGCGCTGGTTGACGAAGCACACAACCGCAACCGCCCGGTGCTGGCCCATTGCCGGTGCACTGAGTCCATCAACTTCGCCCTTGACGCCGGGGTGGACGCCATCCTCCACTGCTTCTTCACCGACTCAGATGGCACGTATCGCTACGACGAACCCACAGCCGACCGCTTGGCGGAGTCCGGGGTCTACCTGAACCCTACGATGCACCTGGGACGGGTTTCGCGGGCCTACCTGGAGCGCGTCCGAACCCAACGTCCGTTCACCCCCGCAGAGCAGGAGCGGTGGGAACGTATGAACAGGACGGGCGGCACCGCTATGGAGCAGTTCGCTCGCCTGATTCGCGCCGGGGTCAGACTAGCGGGAGGATCGGACTGCGGGTGGGGCAGCTATCCCTTTGGCGATTTCCAGGGTGAGATAATCGCCATGCACGACGCCGGGCTGTCGCCTATGGAGGCCATCCTTGCCGGGACCCGCAACCCTGCCGACGCACTCGGGATACTGGACCAGACCGGGACAGTCGAACCGGGCAAGAACGCCGACCTCGTCCTGGTAGACGGCGATCCTTCGTCCAACATAGACGCGCTGCGCAACGTTAAGACTGTTTTCAAGCAGGGAATCCAGGTTGGTTCGGCCCGTCCCGCCGTCAACGCCGCCTGACCTCCAGTATCCCGGCTTTACCTCAAATGCATCACTGGGAAGTTGGCGGAAGCATTCACATTGGGTGGCCGGACTACAATGTGCCGGAACGGCCCTACACCCTCGTTGAGTTCGACTCGTATGGGCCGGTGTTTCGCGCCCGCGTCTCCGACTCAACAGCCGATGGAAGGCAGGGAGGCTTCCTCGTCGTATTCGGATGCCCCGACGTGGTTCTGGACATGCTGGCGGAGCAGGCTACCGAAAAGCTTGGCTTCCAGGTTGTGGTGTCCGACCTCCGATGCAGCATCGAAGGCCAGACCCTGCACAGCTTCGACTACGAGTGGTACCCCACGCCCGAGTTTGCCGACCGTCCCGGCGACCTAGCCCGCACCATCGCCGATTCGCTGGAGGAGATGCGTCGAAGCGGCTGAGCGCCAGGACCACCGCACTTGAATTCGCCAACCTACGGCACCAGCGTCTTGCGCTTGCCCGGAGTCCAACCTCCCGCAGATCGTGAATTATTTTTCATTTTCCCGGTAATTTACGGTAGTTTCCGAGCACGCTTCGAGTGCCCGCTGGCCTCAGTTTAGTCGCGCGAAAGATTGCTTGCCAATTATTCGCCATGAAGCTTGTTCTGATGGATGGTGAGGGAACTACTTTCAGAAGTAAGGTCAATCGGGTATCAACAGAATCCAACTCTACGGTGGTACTTCATCGCCATAGACTTGGTCATCACAGTTTGATTTCTCTTCCGGGCAAAACCGGAATTTTCCGATCTTGCGGACACGCGAGTGGGTGGGCAGGCTGCCGGGTGCGTTCTACGGGCTGTGGAATGGGAATTTTGGGTACAGAAAATTGGTCCCTTTTTCTCATTCTGCCCCATTTTTTATTTTCATCTGTCCGTCAGCTACGAATTGGGCCGCGCTTGGAGGGAATTTTGTTTCCCGCTCCATTGTGTCCCACTGGGTTTGTCCAGCTGGGTGACGGAGCCGACGGGATGCCTTGGGGGGCGTACGTTGGGGATCTTGCAAAGCGTTAGTGGTAGAGATGCGTCATAAGGCTCGGCAAGACGCAAGCGCCATCAAAACGCGACTGCCCTGCGTCAGCACTGGGAAGAGCAGATGAGCTAGACAAGTCTACAGGTTCCTCAAGGCCCTGAAATGATTCCAAAGGGTTTACGGGGAGCCCTTTGGACGGCGTCACTTGTAGAGACAGGAGCGGTTAGAGATTTCGAGCGCGATCGCTGATGGCCTGGGGCGGTCGTTGCTGGACTGGGCCGCTGGGCGAATGTATGATTGTCGATGGTAAATTTTGTTCTCAACCGCCCTGCTTCGCGGCGGTAAACACATTAATTCAAGGAGAGTATGCGATGAAGAAAAGTTACAATGAGCGACATTCCCCGGACCGAGGCTGACATGGCTCCCCTGGGCAGCGGCGGACTGATGACCGGAACGCAGGTATGGCGCCAGTCCATCCTGAATCCGGACGACTCGCAGAACTTCAACTTCGCCATCGTGGCCTTCGATGCTGGTTCCCGCAACAAGTTCCACAAGCACTCCGGTGACCAGATCCTGGTCATCACCGAGGGGAAGGGCCAGGTCGCCTCTGACGAAGAAGTTGTCGAGGTGGTTGAGGGCGACGTGGTTGTCATCCCCGCAGGCGAGAACCACTGGCATGGCGCTCCTGGCGATACCGCCATGGCCCACATCACCATCACCGTCAAGGGCAGCCAGACCGAGCAGACCGAGGCCTAGCCCTCCAAAATAATCGTCTCAAAGGTTCACGGAAACACAAACGGTCTGGGCGTAAATGCCCGGACCGTTTTCTTTTAGCAACCGGTACGCGACCTTGCGGCGAGAGTCTGTGATGTGGCCTGCGGGGCCCTCAGTCTCCTTCGGTCTTGATGGCTTGGGCAGAAGACGCTATGCCAGTGTCGGCAGTTGAGGCAGCAGGAGCCTGGCGAGGTTCCCTCTGCCTAAAACTGCAATGAACCTGAAGCGCAGGCTGGAGTAAGCCATCGCCGTGGCGAATACCGCAGCCTCCACCAGGACGATGGTCGCTCCGGATGACACGTCGACGAAGTAGCTCAGGTATATGCCGAAGAAACCGCAGATAGCCCCAATCCCGGCGGACAGCAGCAGCATCCTTGGGAAACTGTCGGTCAGCATTCGGGCCGACACAGGGGGAATTACCGTTGCCCCAGCTATGAGCAGCACGCCCAGCACCTGCAGCGACACCACGATGGTACCCGCCAGCACCAGCGAGAACATTGCCTCCACCCAGCCAGTGGGGGACACCGTAAAACTGGGCCACATCGCCGTCAAAGGTGGTGAACAGGAATTGCTTGTAGGCCACGAACAGGACCAGCGCAGTGGCGACGGTCACCGCTGCCAGCGCCACAAGATCCCCGGTGTTTACGCCCACGATGTTGCCGAACAGGGCAGTTTCGAAGTCACGCGTAAAATTCTTGTAGCGGCTGATCAGGACGATGCCCACAGCAAAGCTGGCAGTCGTGATGACGCCGATAGCAGCGTCGTAGGCGATCTTCCGCTTCTTGGTAGTGAGCGTTATCAGCTGGGCGCAGAGGAAGCCCCAGATCGTGGAACCGATCAGGAAGTTGAATGACAGCACGAACGAGACGACGGCGCCGCCCAAGACAGCGTGGGCCAGACCGTGCCCGATGTAGGCCATTCGCTTAAGAATGACGTAGACGCCGATTCCGCCACAGAGAGCTCCCGCGAGAATCGCCGCGATCATCCCGCGGACTATAAAGGGGTATCCGAAAGGTTCGAAGATTACATCAAGCATGACTGTGGCTGTGCCCCACATTAACTTCATCGCCATTGGCACCGCCATTGCGTCCGTAGCGATGGGGGCTTTCGGCTACTATTGGCATTCCTTCGTAGTGGATTACAGGCATATCCGCACCGTAGGTCTGGCGCAGCACTTCGGTGGTGATGACGTCGTAAGGCGTGCCTTCCGCCAGCACCCGTCCGGCCAGGCATACCAGGCGAGGGAGATGAACGGCCACCGCGTTGATCTCGTGAGTGGTTATCACGATGGTCACGCCCTCGTGGTTCAGGTCGTGAAGCAGGTGCATCACATCGTCGCGTGTTTTGACATCGACGCCGGAAGTTGGCTCGTCCAAGAGTAGGAGGGACGGACTGCTCACCAGGGCGCGAGCCAGGAAGGCGCGCTGCTGCTGACCGCCGGAGAGCTCACGGATGTGGCGCCCCGCCAGATGCAGGATACCCAGTTGCTCCATCATCCGGTCAGCGAGTTCCTTCTCCTCCTTGCGGAACCAAGGAAAGAATCGATTCTCCATGGTCCGACCCATCATTACGACTTCGCGGACCGTTACGGGAAAGTTCCAGTCGATGGTTTCCAGCTGGGGAACATAGCCGATGCGAGGACGGCCCTCAGATGGCCTCCGCCCTTCAACCAGCACCTCGCCCTCGTAGACACTCACTGCGCCCAGCATGGAGCGCAGCAAGGTGGTCTTGCCAGATCCGCTGGGGCCGAGCAGACCGACGAAGTCCCCCTTCATTATCTGAAGGTCCACACGGTTGAGCACCCGTTGTTTTTCGTAACCGCAGGACAGACCGATGATCTCAACCAGTGGAGCCCCGCGGAGATGTTCGTGGGGTAGGGGATGCAGCATTTTTGCTAAGCCTTTGAATCAAAATGTCCTGGTCTAACCGGGCCGAACGATCCAGCAGGCCCTCTTCCCAGATGTGATCGGTGCCTAATGGTGGTGTTGATGGCCTCCAGGAGCGCCTGTCCACTCCGCTGGCAGCGGCGCATGGCGGTCATGTTCGTCGTCATCCTCTCCGCCGTGAGGGTCGTGTCCGTTGGTTGCCCTCACCATCTGCGTTGCGACTAGCTGCGCATAGAGGCCCTGCTGCTCCAGCAGTTGCTGGTGGCTACCCTGTTCGATGGCTTCGCCACGGTCCAGCACCACGATTCGGTCGGCGTTTCGTATGGTGGACAGCCGATGGGCGATCACCAGAGTGGTGCGCCCCTCCATCAGTGTCTCCAGAGCCCGTCGCAATTGGCTTTCGCTCACCGCGTCCAGATGGGATGTGGCCTCGTCCAAGATCAGCACGGGCGCGTTCTTGAGCAGGGCGCGAGCGATGGCAACCCGCTGCCTTTGCCCGCCCGAAAGTTGCATACCGCGTTCGCCGACGATGGTGTCGTATCCGTCTGGGAACGCGGTGATAAATTCGTGGCAGCTGGCCTGTTGTGCCGCCGCCTCCAACTCATCCTGACTTGCCTCGGGCCGACCCAGCATGATGTTGTCGCGAATGCTTGCGTTGAAAAGGTAGGTGTCCTGAGACACCAGTGCGATCTGCTGGCGCAGATCGTCCAGCTTAAACTGCCGGATATCGTGACCATTCAGTTGCACTGAACCGTGGCCCGGGTCCCAGAACCGCATCGCCAGATTGGCGCAGGTGGTCTTCCCGGCGCCCGACCTTCCCACCAGGGCAACGGTATGTCCCGGTTCAACTTCGAAACTCAGGTGATTCAAGGCCTGCGGCTCTCCCGGTCCGTAGTCGAAAGCCACAGCGTCGAAGACCAATGCGGGGGCCTGATCCGGTTTCAACGTACCGTGAACCCCCTGGCCATCGATCACTGGGACCGGTTCGTCGTGGATAGCGAACAGCCGGCGGGAGGCCGCCAGGGTCTCCATCAATTGCTTCATGGTGCGTGCGAGGTCTGACACCGGAGCGAACGCCGCTACCGAGAGTACCACCGCCAGAATCAGCTCAGGCCTGGTGATACTGCCGTTGGTGTAGAGCCAGACGCCGACTGTCAGCACTACCAGCCCGCCCAAGGCAGTCATTGCTTCGATGAAGCCGATCTGGAAGGCCCTCTCCTTGAGGAATCGAAGCTGAATGTGAGCGAACCGCCAACTGTTGCTCACCATCTCGGCGGTGCGGGACGGTCCCTGCCCAAAGGCGACGATCTCCCGCATCCCCTGGATGCTGTCAACCATGTGGGCGTGCACATCGCCCAACTGGTGCCGCAGCTCCTCGCCCAGCCTCTCCGAGCGTTTCTGGGCGAAGAACGGGCTCAGGGCGACGGCCACCAAGAACGGCGCGACGGCGATCGCCATGGGCCAGGCGATTACCGCCAGAACAGCGACGACCACACCCGGCACGACAACGGCAGTGAAGGCCGGGGTAATGGTGTGGGCGAAGAAGAACTCCACCGTCTCCACGTCGCCGCCCACCACGCTCACCAGGTCTCCGGAGCGCCGCCGGGTCATGTAGGCCGGTGCCAGCGGGTCCAGTTTGCGATAAACGTCGACCCGCATCTCAGCCAGCAGCCGGTAGGCGAGGTCGTGGGCCACCCACGATTCCGTCCAGATGAAGAAGGCCGCCAACGGCGTCAGCACCGCCAGCAGGATCAGCATCAGGGTCAGGTCGCCGCCGGTTATAACCTGTCCCACCAGCAGGGCGCTGACCACGCCGACACCGATGGCGGTGCCGTGGTGAGCCACTCCCAGCAGGAACGTGAGGATGAGCTCGTTCCGCCACGGCTTCACCAGCCCCAGCAGGCGTACCCATATCGTGATGATGCTGAGAGGACGGTGGCCACCACCGTGGGCGTTTTCCCCATGGTGTTGAGCCGCAGGGGCATCGTGGTGGTGACCACCGTGTCCACCGTGCGCAGGCTGGGGAATAAATGCCGACGCATCCGGCTGCGGGCCATGCCTGTGCTCTTGACGACCCTCCACGGCCTCGTGGGCCTCGACGGCGTTGTCGTGGTCGTCGTGGACACGGGTGTGCGGCTGAGCCTCTCGGTGATCCCCGTGGCCCTGGTGTTCGTTGGAAGGAATGTCGGCGGCATGATGATGATCGTCATCGTGGTCGCGACGATGGGCCTGCGGCGCCGCGTGATGATGGTCGTGGCCCTGATGCGCCGGACTGGGCATGAACGCGCTCACGTCCACCGCGGCGGTCGATGGGACCGCATGGTGGAGATCCTCTCCGGAGGGGTGCACGTCGAAGTCGAGGCGCTCCTGTTGTTGGGCCATGAGGTCAGCGTACAGTCCGCCCGCCGCGACCAAGTCGTCGTGATTGCCGGTCTCGACCAGCCTGCCGTTGTCCAGCACCAGGATGCGATCTGCGTTGACCACGCTGGAGAGGCGGTGGGCGATTCTCAGGGTGGTGCGGCCATCCATGAGCCGGTCGAGGGCCTGCTGGATGACGGCCTCGTTCTCGGCGTCCACGTTGGACAGGGCCTCGTCGAGGATCAGTATAGGAGCATCCTTAAGCAGGGCTCGGGCGATGGCAATCCGCTGCTTCTGCCCGCCGGATAGCCGGACCGCCCTCTCACCGACCCCGGTCGCATATCCGTTGGGGAGGTGGCTGATGAATTCGTGGGCGTTGGCCGCCCGGGCAGCCTCCTCCAGTTGCGCCTGGGTCGCATTGGGGTTTCCGAAGCGGAGGTTCTCCGCGACGGACCCATGGAACAGGTAGGTGTCCTGGGTTACTACCGACAGCTGTTCGCGCAACTCGCTGAGCGGTATGTCCCGCACGTCGCGCCCGCCCAGCCGGATGACTCCCTGCTGTGGATCGAAGAAACGCAGCATCAGCCAGACGATGGTGGATTTTCCCGCGCCGCTGGGGCCGACGAGCCCCAGGCTCTCTCCTTCGTGAAGGGTGAACGAAAGATCATGCAGGGCCGGTCGTCGGCCCTCGCTGTAGGCATGGCTCACATTTTCGAAGGCCACTTCGGGCTTAAGTGAACCGGTTGGCTCAGCAGTCGAGGACGCAGCCTGTTGCCGGTTCGGCTCCTGAACGGCAACCGGTGAGTCCATGATGGCGAAAATACCTTCCGCCGAAGACATAGCCATCACGCCGTCGTGGTAGAGCTGCACCAGCTCACGCAGGGGGCGAAACACCTCCACCCCCAGCAAGAGGACTATCATCAGCGCTCGAAGCTCGAGGTCCCCATCGGCCACACGCATGGCCCCCCAGCCCAGGGCAACCGCGGCCCCGCCGGTGATGCCGAGAATGGTCAGCGCGCCAGTTGCGGCGTTGGCGGCGAGCACGCCCATGGTGGTGCGGAACAGGTCGCGGGCTCGTTCCGCCAGGAGTTCTCCGCGAATACGGCTCTGCCCGAAGGACTTGAGCGTGGTCAGTCCCTGGACCGCGTCGAGGAAGTCCGCTCCCAGCGCGCCATAGGCGTCGCGGCGAGCCATGCTGCGCTCGCGGTTCCACCGGTGGAACATGTTGGGAATGACCAGGGTCAGCAGCGCAAATGCCAGGAATATCAGCCCCGTCCGGAAATCGATCAGAGCCATGAAAATGAAGATTACGACAGGCGCCAGTGCGGCGACGATCATCTGGGGCAGGTACCGGCCAAAGAACGCCTCCAGGCGCTCCACGCCTTCGGCCAAGGACATCAGCGCATCGCCGGTGCGCGAGGAATCAAAGTGGCCGGATCCCAGCGCCAGCGAGTGCTCGTAGAGCCGCTCTCGCAACTTGACCTTGACCAAGCTGGCGGTGTGGTGGCTCATCACTTCCTGCAGGTACTGGAGGCAGGCCCGTACCACAATGAGGGCGGCCATGCCGACCAGGGGCCAAGTCAAGGACTCGAAGGTCGCGTTACCTCGCACCACCTCCACAATGATCAGGGCAGCAACAGCCAGTCGCGCCACACCGGCAGCAACAGCAAGCATGCCCACGATCGCCGAGATTATGATGCGCCATCGAACGTCTGCTGCCAGCGAGAGCAGCCTCGGATGCAGGTACATTGCTACATCCCCTCCAAAACGGGAAGGCTAGTCGAAATCCCGGTCCGCCAGTTGAATCCGGATTCACTGTGGATAGACAGCACCGCTCTCACCCTCGAATACCGCGCTGACATCCAAATCGTCAAAGGAATCGGCGCTACCGCCCAATGCAGGAATCATGATCTGCAGATTCTGCCGCATCAGACCAAGGTAGGAATGATCCGGGTCTCCCGGCTGGCCTGGCAGGTCATCGTCGGCCAGCTTGTCTATGTAGGTGGTGTTGCCTTCCTGGGAAATGATCTCCAGGACTCTGCTGGAGAATTCCACTGAGCCGAAAATTGCGGGAAGCCCCAGCTCTCTTATCTGGTCAATGAGTTTCGCCATTTCTCTAGCCGAGGGTTCGGCGAAGTCGGACGGCTGCACCGCCCCGATTACCTCAAATCCGTAGGCCAGCGCGAAATAGGCCCACGAGTCGTGGTAGGTCACCAGCTTTCTATTCTCCGGCGGTATCGTGGCTACTGCCTCCCGGATTACGGCGTCCATCATTGTGATTCGCTGCCGGAACGCTTCCAGGTTGCGGGTGTAGTAGTCCGAATTGTCAGGATCCAGAGATGCCAGCTTTTCCTGAATAAGCTCAGCGTATTTCAGCCCAAGGTTGGGGTCAGGCCAGAGATGCGGGTTGGGGTGACCGCCGGACTCTGGAAAACTGAAGTCGAACTGCCATTGGCCACGGGCAATGGCCTGGTCTCCCAGCAGCAGTATCGGCGTGTCGTCCCCCTTGTTTGCTTCTGCTAATTCGATGGTCGGTTCCTCCAGGAAGAGACCGTTGGCAATTATCAGATCAGCGTCCGCCAACAGCCTCGCCAAGGAAGGTTGAGGCTCGAAAACGTGGGAGTTCACCCCTTCCGGCACCACTCCTTCCAATTCGATTCGGTCGCCGCCTATGTTTTCCGCTATGCTGGTGATCGGAGAGACTGTGGTAACTACTTTGAGTTTCCCCCCATCTTCTTCGCTACCTCCGCAGGCCATGGAGACCGCGACCATCACCACTACCGGAATCGTGAGAGCGAGACGGGTTAGTTCATTGAGTCTTGGGGACAATGCTTGAATCATTCCTGTCTGTGAGTTCACCCAACATCTTTCCGTCCCTCGTCCAGCGACTGGCAACCGGCGCAGATGCCGGTGATCGAGAAGTGTTCGAGGTCAGGTACGAAGCCGAATTCCTGCACCAGGGTCTCGCGGAATTCGGACAAGTAGTGGGGGCTAAGATTGTAGGCACCACTGCACACCCGGCAGACCATGTGATGGTGGACGTCGCCCGGCATGGTTAGTTCGTAATGCAGCCGGTCGCCAATCTCGACTTCGGTTACCACGCCGGCGTCCCGGAACGTCCGCAGGGTGCGGTAAACGGTGGCAATGTCCATGAATTGGTAGACTTCGCGAGCCCTTCTGAACACCTCGTCAACACCCATGTGCTCTCCGCCCTCCGCAACTACGGAGAGTACCAGAACACGCTGCGGCGTCATCCTGTGTCCCTGAAGACGAAGGCTCTCCAGAGCCTGTTCATGATGCAAGGCGCAATTCCAAGTTATTGCAATTGATTGCCAGAACAGATGGTAGCAGGAATAGGGACGAAGTCAACGAGAGACAGGAACGAGTTTGGCTGCCTTCAAATGGTCAGGTGGCGATGCGGATGATGCTGTACATATGCCGGTATAGCCGACCCGCCTCAGCGAGGAGATCCCCGATGCCGCCGCCGCTGGGCCGAACATGCTCGAAGGCCAAGACCTCGGTGTAGCGGACGTCGCCCCGGCCCTCGGTTGCCTCCAGCAGTCGACGAGACTCGGCGGCCGGTACCAGCCGGTCGTTTCGGTCGTGCATAATCAGCAGCTTCGCCTGAATCCCGTCCACGTGCGACGAGGGGGAAATGCCCGCCAGATCATCGCGGAAGCTCATCGGAAGAGTCTCGTACAACGCCTCGGCTTCCTCAGGGGTTGTTCCGTCCAGCAGCCTCATTATCGTTACGGCTGAAGGGGAGAGCGATTCCAGCTCCTCGGCAGTCAGCGCCTCACCATTCATGTAGCGGCGCGTCAGTGCATTCGCATCCTCGGAGGATTCCAGAGTCTCGATCAACTCGTTGGCCAGAACCCGCTTGGTCAGTTTGTCCGGATCCCAGGGAGTCCGCTCTCCGTCATAGACCACCGAACGGGACGCCGCCTGCAACAACAGTGTTCTTGCATCGTAATAGGGGCCGAAGGCGTTTACGAAGTGGACCTTGTCCTGAATCCGAGGGTCTGCGGAGGCCACCAGCGCGAAAGATGCCCCCACGCAGAACCCTCCCAGCCCCACCCGGTCCATGTCCACGTATTCCCGCTCGGACAGATACTGAAACGCCCAGACAAGATTACCGGTCTCGGCCGGTTCGATGTTGGCCCGCAACGCCATCGTGGGGGACCAATGGAACATGACCACGTAACCCGCCCGAGCAAGGGCGTTGCCCAGGTTCACCACGTCGGGGTCATCGCGTCCGGCGGCATTGGCGCCAAGGAAAAGAACGACGGCGGCATGACGCCTGTTGTCATTCGGGCGGTATACGTCGGCGACGGTCGTGCCGTCGTACGACGGGTAATGCACCTCGTGGCGGAGAGGATCATCCGTAAACCATGTCTGCGGTTTGATTGACAGGTCGAGTACCTGCGTTACGAAGAGCACCGTGTTGAAGCCAGCCTTGCCCTGTGGGATAACAGCTACAAACAGTACAAACAGGGCCACAACCACAACAATGCCCTGTAACAACCAGGACGCGCCCTTGCGAACTACTACGAGCGCCACGCCAGTACTCTTCTTGTCAGCCCAGGAGTTTTGAAAGTCTCGTCTACAGTGCTAATCACTGCTCTACACACGCACGAGCCTGATCATGAATACAGAGACAAGCCGCGTTGCGGCCATTGCGAGAAAAACGATAGGCCATGGGCTGCCCGCCATATCCAGTAACACCCCAAACACGATGGCCTGCGCCCCAGCATACAGGTATCCGTGGGCGTCCAGCACACCGGCGGCCGTGCCGGCCATCCGCCTCCCGCCCATATCGACCGACACCGTCGACATGGGCGACATTCCCATCGCCACTCCGCCGGAAAGCAGCAGAGCGGCCCCAAGCAGTTCGTTCGACGGGGGTACTACTGCTATAACGGCGATGATTGCGGCGCTGGCCAGGCAGGAGGATATAACCAAAGGCCGACGCTGGCTGTTGAGAAAGTGGTCGGATATGAATCCCGCCACCGATGGCGCAATCAGATACCCCACCGGGAGAAGCACTGTAACTATGACAGTGGATTCTATGGAAAGCCCGCCAACCTCTGAATAATAGATTGCGACCCAGGTGGTGAGCCCGTACCGAACCACATTTTCCAAGCCCTTGACGTGGCAGGCCAACAGAAAATGGGGATTGGTCATCAGCCAGCGGTAAGGGCCCAGTCCATTCAAATGTGAGGAGTCAATAGACTCGGGACTAGCGGAAACCTCGTCCTCTTCGACATATTCCGGCATCCCGATGTCTGCAGGCCGGTCGCGCACCAGGAAATAGAACGCTATTCCCAACACCGCGAAAATCACCGGCAAATACCGGAACGCAGCCCTCCACCCCCACTCCGCGCCCACCCAACCGGCAAGAGCCCACATGAGCAGCATGGCACCACCCGCGGAGGTGCCAACAATGCCCATGGCAAGGCCCCGACGGCTGCGGGGCCACCATTGGGAAATCATGCTCATAGCGGGCGCCCAGCAGGCCGCGTTAACGAAACCGGCCAGTCCCAACGGGATGGCCATCGTAAGGGACGTGGTGGCAAAACTGGTCGCGCAGTTGAAAACCGCAGTTAATATGGCGCCCAGCATCACCCAGAGGCGCAAGCCGAAAGCCTCGGCCAATCGCCCGTGGCACACATCTCCAAGGGCGAATCCCCAAAACAGCATGGCCCAGATGAACGCTATTTCAATGTTACTTAGCGCCAGTCCCTCTTTGACGAGGGGAGCCAAGGGATAGAGGCTGAAACGGCCAAGGTAGGCGAACAGGTATAAGACGGCAAAGGCCAGCAGCACCCGCCACTTGTACAAGTGGTAAGCGCGGGGCAGGTCCTCGAATCGAACTGCCTTAATTCTGCTCATCGCCAGAACTGATGGTGAGTGTGCGCCGGGAAATAGTAGCGACGCAGGGAGAATAGTTTCTTGCGAACCGTGGCGCCGTGCCTCGACAGTGGAAACTTAAGGTGTCCCAGGAAAACGACAGACCCGGGCAGCCGCGCGGCCGCCCGGGTCCTGAGACTCCGCGAAAACCTGAAAGGAAAAGGTGTCAGTTGGCCGGGATGGCTGCCTTGGCTATACCGATCAACTCCTCGTTGGATGACGCCTCGAGATCGATGGGCTGCCGTGGGGCTGAGGAACGAGGAAGCCGGTCTTGCAGTAAAGCTCGATCCGGTTGCCTTCGGGATCGAAGAAGTACATGCCGAAGGCATTGCCGTGGCTGACGATTCGGTCGATCTCCACGCCTTCTTCCTTGATGCGCTGGTGATACTCCTTCAGTTCGTCCAAGCCTGAAACGATGAAGGAAATCTGCTGAATGACCTTGGCATCACCCGATGTTACGCGGCCCTTCATCAAGACGAACTCGTGATGCTCCCGCTCCGGGTCCGAACTCAGGAAGGTCATGCCACGACCGTCCAGGTCCTCATCAGCGATTTCAAGGCCCATCACCCGAGTATAAAAGTCCCGCTGCTTCATAATATCCTCGGCATAAATGCCGACGTGTCCCAAACCCTCTATCTTCGCCAAAACTCACCTTCCCCAGAATGTTGTGAAAAAGCCTCAGGGTCCAACTTTTCGGGATTATACACCAATGTGGCGGATTCCCTCTTAAAATATCCGGAGCCTATGCACGTCCATCGGCCAGGTTAACGGCCAATTGCGCCAGTGTGCGGGCTGGTGTGCCAGTGGCGCCCTTGACCAAGTAGCCAGAGGCCTTTTCCGAAGTTGAGGTGCCTGCGATGTCGAGGTGGGCCCAGGCCGCGCCATCCACGAATTCCTTGAGAAGGAACGCGGCGCTGATGGACCCGGCCTGCCTACCACCGCTGTTTTTCATGTCGGCGACGTCGCTTCGGATCAGCTCTTTGTATTCATCGAACATCGGCAGCTGCCAGAATTTTTCGCCTGTCTGTTTTCCCTGCGCTGATAACATCGCCAATAAGCCCGTCGTCGTTGCCCATGGCGCCGGTGCAGGCCTTTCCCAGAGTAGTGACCATGGCTCCAGTCAACGTGGCGATGTCGACGAGCCGGGTGATGCCGCGTTCGCGGGCCAGGCACAGCGCGTCGGCCAGCACCAGGCGGCCCTCGGCGTCGGTGTTGATTATCTCGATGGTCTTGCCGTTCATGGCGGTGACCACGTCGCCGGGGCGCTGGGCTGAGCCACCGGGCATGTTTTCAGTGGCAGCGACCATGCCGGTAACGTTGATGCGCGGCCTGAGCTGCGCAATGATCTGCATCGCAGCAATGACGGAAGCTCCACCGGCCATGTCTCCCTTCATGGACTCCATTCCCGCCGCGGGCTTGAGAGAGATACCTCCCGTGTCGAAGGTGATGCCCTTGCCGATCAGGCCCAGGTTGTTGCCGGGGTTTTCGGGATCTCCCTCGTAGGTCAGGATTATCAGCTTGGCCGGTTCGTCGGAGCCCTGGGCCACTCCCATGAATGCGCCCATGCCTTTCTCCAGCATATCGTCGTTGTTCAGGACCTCAAATCCGAGGCTGTTCGCCTCCGCCACCTCGTGGGCGACCTTCGCCATGGACGTTGGGGTCATGATGTTAGCTGGTTCGTTGACAAGGTTTCGCGCGATCATCGTGGCCTCTGCCATGGATCGCCCTTTCGAGACTCCGCGACGAATGGCATCAGCGCGGGCCTCATCCAATTCGGCGATGGTTAACTCCTCGAAATCTTCGTCCGCGTCCCCACCATTGGTGTAATAACGATCGAAGCGGTACAGGCCCAGCAATGACCCTTCCGCCATGGCCTGACCTGACTCATCCGGAGAAAGGCCGCCGATTCCGGCCCCGTGAGCTATGGTCACGGCCTGATCGACTCCCCGACGCCTGAGGTAGCGCAAGACCTCTGAGGATACGCTGCGCACCGCCTCGGCATCGAATTCATCCGCATTGCCGAGACCGGCAACCACGACTCGGGCGGGGGTGATTTTGCCCATGGGTATGTGGAATGTGGGTCAGTATTATACATAAGAGCTGAATTAGGATACAACTAAAAATAGGCCCCAGTGCAACAATGCAATTACGGTTCCGTTTTTAACCAATTCCTAAATTCAGTTGTTACAAAAACACTGTCACATTTCCATTCAAAATAACAAGCCACTATCAGAATTACAGTAAACTTACAGACAACTTGAACGTATGCTCTTGGGCTGGAGATGATGTGCCTTCCTTCTCCAACTTTGTCTCCTTTCTTCTTCCCATCGACTGCAATACACTCGTAGTATCCCTCATCGCCCTCTGTGACACTGTCAATCACTAGCTGAGAAACGAGGAAACCCCTAGCAATGTTCTCTTTCGTTGGCTTCTCTGGATCAACAATACGTGTCCCGTTTTTCCACCACTCTAAATGCGGGACGGGGTAATTGCTGCCCAGTTTCACGATGGGGAAGCTGCAGTTGAGGACGACTGTTTCTCCTTGTACCGCTGTCTGGGATTGAGGAATGGTGGTGAAGTTTATGGAGTGAGGCTGAACCGCATAGTCTGTGTGGGGAGAGAGACATTAGGGTCACAGCGAATGGATGATGAGCTGCTCGTATTGAGTGTAGCTACATAGGTGTGATTTCAACTAGAATGTTGGTGCCTTAGTTGCTCACTCGGTAGAGCCCTCTCTGGAACACAGAGTGCTCTATATGAGTGGTTCAGCCCAGCCAGCTGAGCTGTCTCAGTTGGTGGAGCCCTCTCTAGAACAAAGAGTGCTCTGCCTTGCTCTGTATTAGTGGTTCAGCCCAGCCAGCTGAGCTTTCTCAAGTTGGTAGAGCCCTCTCTAGTACTCCCTCCCTCCTTCCTCCTTCCCTCCCTCCCTATCTTCCCCCCTCTAACACAGAGTGCTCTGCCTTGCTCTGTACGAGCGATTCAGCCAAGCCAGCTGAGCTGTCTCAGTACGTTAGTAAAATGTTTTCTATGAGCAACTCCGCCATTCCTCTGTATCTTATATGAGTCAAGGTAAGGCTTCATGGAGGGAGAATTATTCCTGATGAAGAGGTGATGTAACCCCACAGGAAATAGGTTTCAGCCACACGTCCTGTCCTCACTAGACAACTATACATCTCTGCTGACAACAGTTGGGAGCCTATAGCAACTCCTCACCCACATATGCAGCCACAAATGCTTCAGTTTGTGAGACCTACTATTATATAACTACCCCAATACTATAAATCCCTAAGTTATAAAATGAAACTATGCCTAGTGTCACTACATAGGTAAGTAGTGTTCATTGTGTGATTTGCATTTCTGCAGTGTCAAATCAAAGGGTAAACTTCTGCTACTGTTGCAAGCCACTTTCGTACATAAGTGACACTTGCTGTAAGTCTGTTGCTATTAATAAACAGTCATACTATAGAGTGGTCAATTAAGGAGAGAGTTGTAATAGGGAATGGCCCCACCAAGGTCAACTAGGAGAAAAAGCTGGATTCTCCTGGGATTTAGGTATGCGTTGTAAAAACTCTGTCATTGTCTAACTTGCCCAGCACTACATCACTACAGTGGATGCTCTTAAGATGAGCACTTTTACACTTTCTGGTGAGTGAACAAAGCAATTCTAGGAACCACTTTGTGTGCGTTGGCACATGCACATTAGAGAGAGAAAAAACCAGAAAAGCAAGAGAGTAACAGAAAAAAACCTCATAATAAGTAAAAAAAACACATAATAAGCGAAAAACCTCCTAAAAATATCTCACCATTCAAATTTACACACTGAATGTACTTACAAACTTATGTATTATAGCACTGCACTCATGGCACTAATTCAGCGAAACTACAAGATTTCTTTCTCGGAAATTATTATAGTGACTGCCTTACGTACATTCCGAGAGCTGTAGTGTAGGTATAGCTAGGCAGCAAGAGAGAAAGAAAACCAAGACATGCCACTCTGTAGTATTCAGTGTCAGGGCAACTGTTTGCTAACACACTCCTCTCTAGTGGCTTATACCTGGAATGCGTGGTAAGGATTGATGAAGTTGTACATGGGTCAAGTCTGAGTCACGGGAGGTACGTATGTATGTGGGTAGGTAATACTGACGTCCATAGAGTAAACAATACCCACACAGTGTCTCAAGTTCACACTCGAAAATAAATTTCTAACTCTGTAGCTTCCTGTCATAAAACTACTTTTTCTTTTTTCCTCAGACATGCATTAGTGCAAATAATGATGGCAGGAGCTGTATGAATGTGCCAGGAGCAACAAGTCAAGTAGTACTGGGGGCACATGTGACAACTGTTGTACATACACTGGGACCCCTCTCTAAAGACACTCCTGAAATAAGGACGCCTCTCTAATAAGGACAGCTATTCTTTCCCCAAGAACAGTTCTTAACAAAAACCTACACCACTATGGACACTTTCTTCTGACCCTATGGTTTCCAGACTAGAGGATGAGTTTTAGTCGTCTAGCTGTGTGTGTAGATAGGGAAAGTGGGTGTGTAGGAGTTAAGTATCCCACACCAACTTGCTATGTACAGAGAACACCCACCACCACAGTCATACCTATGGGGAAATATCCACAGCTATCCATATGGAAAGTACTTCTACTCATTTCCTTCATTCGTTTCAAGTTAAAAAAAACCTTCACACAAAGATCACCACTGTCATAACAACAATTGCTCTCTGACAACACATTCCTCTGAAGATGGCTAAGATTGTCCCATGCAAAATAATTACTTTTCCTGTGTATATACCAACATAGGTTTAGTACTTACTCCCCCCTGTCACACACCCTAAATATAATCAGTGCAGTTTCACTATTGCAATTGACTTCAGGAAGCAATATAACACCATGCTTCAGTTGATATGGGTAAACACCTTAACCCATGATGCAATAAAAATCCCTAATTTAACTGTTTGTAAATTTTGTCCATATTAACGCTACGCAATTGGTTTACAGACTTTAGCAAAGGGACAACTTAATCTACGGTGCGGAATGTTTTACCATAAGAATGTGATGTGGGAAGGGTCGCCCATTCCCTGTTGTCTATGTTGGGAAGCAGTAGTGGCCAGTGCCTACAATGCATCTCCTTATGTTCAGCCGTGACTGGAGTAACTTCCTGACCCTCTGAACCAATCACAACTTCGCACAGGAAGCTCCATACCGAAACATTTCCCTGGTCTCTCTCTTTCCCCCGCATGTCCACGTTCTGTACTTCTTTTGGCTAGACTGGGGAAACCTCCTTCGGTTTATAAACTACTCGATGCTTCAAGAAACAGTGGATTTTGTAGCTATGTCACACCACCAATAGCTACTAAACTGCTTGCACGAACATCAGTAGGTAATAGCTACATATTCAGACCTCTTTAGAGTAAATAAATTCAGTCGCTAGACTTACCGTATCCACAGGAGCCAAGGTGACCGGTCGTGCAGAGCAGTAAAGTCGAAATAAATACCAGCAAGAGTTGTGGTGGCCCAAGCCTGCTGCGTGGCCAGACTGCAGCGAGTCTGCACGGCGAATGAACTCTCATCATCTCCTGCTGCTCAATAGTTCTCGGAGTTCCATCTGCAGCGTCCACGCTAGTCGTCGCGCTAATAGGACAGTTCGATTTGCAGAGCACTCGCCGGCGGACGTTGTTTATACTACCTTACTTTTAACTTCCGCAAGCTTATCGAGCATTGCGCATGCGCACAAAACTGGAGACGCGCTGCATATGCTGCAGCAGCTAGCTAGCTAGCTGAGGATCGAGCTGAGCTGGGCGCGCGCGCGGGCGCGGGCGACCACCGCTCACGTGAGAGCGCTGTTGTAGCTGACCATGACATCATTGAAATTTTTGGTTGTGTGTAGTGAAGATCAGTCAGTAATCATGAGTGAAATAATCTGTTGTGATAAAATCAGAAGATGATGACTGCTATATAAAACTAAAGAATAATAATGATCTCTCTGCTGCAACTCAGCATTGTCATTCCACGTGTGATTATAGCATTATATGCCTGCGGGGCTTGAAAATAGTGTCACTAGTAGTCAAAATTGTTGTCCTCATTTCCCGAGAGTAAGGTAGCCGCCTCAGCATCGGGGGCAATGTCCGTCTTAATCTTGACGCACGTAAAGTCGACGTGTCTGCTCTTGGCTTCGTCCTTCTCCCACGAGAGACGGAGAAATGGCCGTTGAATGTAGTTGTACACCACTGACAGAAGGGGGGGAAGGTATAATGGAATCATTGCCATGACCTTGTTTTACGTATGTACGTGGTTCTCCTTAAAAGGTGGATAAAAATACCCTACGCAAGCAATGAAGCATCTACGCATTTCAAAGTACAAAACTGCACTGTCGCTTTGCAGTGATTTTTGTCTGTCGTCTGTTTGTTTTACTCAAGTTGACTGTTAATTAGAGCCTATATAGTACTATAGCAGTAGTATGCCTAAAGTTAAACAAACCTTCAGTTCTTCCTGTGTGTGCCCTGACACGCACTTTCTCCTTCGTTGTAGGGTAGCCTAGAGAGAGAGAGAGAGGGAGGGAGCAGAGATAGTAACAGTAAAATTGGCAAGAGAAAGAGAGGGAGAGAGAGAGAGAGAGGGGAGAGTGTTAAAAATTGACTTTTAGAACAGTAGGGCGTGAATATTGACTTAACACCTGAGGCAGAAAGGGAAAAGAGGAATGGAGGTGACTAAGAGAAAGAGGAGAAAAATTGTTAAGTGTTACCCTCTATTCCGATTCTGATCTTCTTCAACCCTTTCTCCCGTAGTGTGTCCTTGGCGATGTCTCGGTTCTCGAAATACTTGAAAAACCGACACAACTCAGAGTTGGTGACCCCTACACACAGCAACAACACAAACAAACAAACAAACAACAAATGTAAACAAACAGAGCTCTGAAAACAGAGGTTGAATCATTGTTAGAGGATACTTTAAACCATCCCCACTCCCTTAAAAACACAGCCCTATGACTGTGTGTGAATGTGTCAATGTGTGAGTGTGTGAGAGTGTGTGAATGTGTGTGAATGTGTGTCAACCAACGTTCAACATGATCCTCCCCCACTGATGGAGGGTAATCATCGTCCCAATCAATGACATCATCCTCCATCAGAATGACAATCTGACACTCCCTCTCTCCCTTCTGCAGACCACACCCACTCATTAACTCTGATATACCTCTATTTAGAGCCCACCACAAACTCAAAACACGATTCCATGATAGTTTGCAAAGCTTCTTAAAGACCCGTACTACCTTTATATAATATACCAAACCTAAGGACCCTGAAATGAGGACAGCTCCATTAGGATCTAAGGCTATATAGGTTCACAATATGCCACATTGCCCATCGCGTTGCAGGAGGATAAAATCCATTTCTATCTTCGCGGCAGGACGTGACATGGACGGCGCGACTGGGCAATGCGACATATTGTGAATCTAGCCTAAGGCTAAGGCTTCCCCACCAAAATTTCTTGCAAGCAAATTAACTCCTGAAAGAGGACAAGCCAACATCTTTCCCTACCACGTTGGACAGTTGTAGTCTGACCTGAGTACATTTGACCATGGCGTGCAGCAGATTCTGCTGGAGGTACTTCTCAAACTGGGCCCTTGCTCCGTCGTTTGACAGCTCATTCAACAGATCAGCTGCAGCAGTAATAAATACACACGCGGGTATGAATGTGGCAATCTGAGAGCTCATCAACTGCAGCACACATACAGACATACAGGGCAATTTCAGAGCAGAGAGAGAGAGAGAGAGAGAGGGAGAGAGGGAGGGAGGAAAAGAAGTGGCTCACATATATTCTGAGTCTTGATGGTCTTCTCGTTGAAGGGGATCATGAGGTAGTCACATGTCTCTCTCAGTTCTGAGACCGACTCTGAGGACGGACAACTGATCACTCCATGGTGGTAGTAGTCCTGTAAATGTACGTACATTGTATCAATGAGTCAGACAGCAGTGGTACCATGTTCATTATTGCATACGGGAAGAAAGATGATATATAGACCGAGTGGGGTGTGCGTATAATGACGTCATGATTACGATGGAACACTAAGATATTAATACACTTGGCAATGAGCACGCAAAGCTAACTTCGAAAACTTAACACTAAGACATACATGAGCATAGGTACATATGCAGGATATAGTATGAGTTAATGCAACAAATATTTAGGGTAATTGTTATTAGCGGGACAGAGATAAAAATGGGGCTGACCAGAACAGCTCTGAAGAGGCTGGCGGTTATTCCTCGTGCAACTTCATATTCTCCTCTCTCATTGGGTTTGAGGGTGAGTTGGTTCTCCATTGACGAGCAGAACATTCTGTGAGACAGAGGGAGGGTGGAGGACGGGGAGGGAAGAGAGGAGGGAGGGTGGAAGAGAGCAGAAATGTGTGCCGAGGAATGCTTGCAATTTCAAGAATGCCTCAACAATGTTTTGGTTCTGACTGCCAAACACATTTAGAATGAGCCATTCTTAGAAACACAGAATGTCCACATGTAAAACAGAGCCAGACTAAGAAATAAGAAATGAAAAACCTTTTTCATACGGTGATGGGGAATTAGAAGATGGAAGTGTGGAAAAAGAGACAGACAAATGAAGGGATGGAAGAGTGGTGAGAGAGTGTACTAGTACCTGCCCAGCATGGTGTTGGGGTATCTGGTAAACAGTCTGGGGTTCACGGGGAAGGTCTGGCGGTCCACCAGAAGGACCACCTCCTCCCCCCAGCCCAGACCCAGGGCAGCTCCCTGGTGGTGGTGAGACGAGGGCCCCTGTGAGTCCCTCTTGGAGCTGAGGGGAGGGAGAGAGGGGTTAATGATAGGGAGGGAGAGGGGTTAATGATAGGGAGCGAAAGAGAATGCATGGAGTGTGCACGTGTAAGAGAGGGGTTGTGAAAAATTTGTGTACATTACAATCTTTTTTCCATGCACACTCTGTCAAGGTGCTTATTAATAAATCTACACCAATTGCTACACCAATTGGGGGGAGGATTATGTGAACGTCCTTAGCTTATTCATAGGTGTAGAATCGATGTGCAATGACCACTACACTGCCTGTTCTGATTGAAATGCTACAGCAAATGTATCTCCCGAGCCTTTATTTACACACACGCAGTCACTAGCGCAAAAATACCGCTCCTACATGTACATGTGTAGTCAAGCTATGTACATGGAAAATAGTGTTCCGACCTGCTACGTAAAGACCTTGGCTGGTGACCGTCATACAAACAGCCTTCCTTCCCCCTCTCTCTCCCCTGTCTCCCCGCTCCTCTTCTTCCCTCCATGATGATAACCTGAACCAGCGGCTATGGCGACTCTTTCGGGCGAGGGAGACTCGCTACTCGACGGCTCTTCCTTCCCGTGGCCGTGACTATGGTGGAGCTGTCGGGCCACGGAGAGAGGGAGAGTCGGACTTCGCTGCGGCTGGCGCTGTGCAGACGAGGAAGAAGACGAGACGTGAGGAATGTACGGGTCGGAGTCACGGTGGTGTCTGGAGAGAGAGGTCCTTCGGTCTTCCCCGCCTCTATCAGAGGCCGTCTTCTTCTCTGACGAGTCCGAAGACACGGACATCTTGAAGCTAGCCTTGAAGCAAGCTACGCCCAAGACAAACATTGATGCGCACTGCGCACGCGCGCGTATTTTGCACCCTGACCTTTTTAACCCTTTTCGCACGGAGTCAGAATTGCACGTTTCTTGCCGCGTCCGCTCGTGAGAGGACGAGATGAGCAGTGTTAGTGGCGGGAGAATGAGGTGCCACTATGAGGTATTGCAGGTGGACCGCGACGTATCGGACGCCGACCTGCGGAAGGCCTATAGGAAGATGGCACTGAAATACCACCCCGGTTTGTGCGGAGTAACTGTCGATTCTATCTCCCTCTCACCTCTCTCCCTTCTCCTTCTCTCAGATAAGAACCCAGACGACGTGGAGGAGTGCACTAAACTCTTCAACGGCATTCAACAAGCCTACGAAGTCATCAGCGACCCCCAGGAGCGCGCATGGTAAGAAATTCACCATTGAACCCTCACACTGGGATGCACATCATCATTGTTTTACTCTGTGCCCTGTTTCCAGGTATGACAAGCATAGGGAAGAAATTCTTCACGGAGGTATAATAATATTATACGTGAATGTAGTCTTTACAACGGTTTTATGGCTAAAAATACATACATTATTATGTCAAGCATGTCTAAAAAAAAAATTCACCAGCCATAAAATTAAAAAAAAATTGCGTGTAGATTACTTTGGTAAGCTCTGAGGCTCTCTCCTAGCTTACTTTTAGTTAGAGATATGCTGCATTGTAAGGTTACTCTTTAGCATTTGACCTTACAATAATAATTATACTGTACATTCTGTTTGTAGTTGAACACGTGATGCTAGTTTTGACGGCACATGAATGTTTGGGTGTCATTCTGCAGCTGGTTCAGATTTCAAGGACGACAGTCTGAACATCATGCCCTTCTTCTCAACGTCGTGTTTCTCCAGTTTTGGAGACGATTCTAGAGTAAGACCTCTTTTGGAACGAATTTGGAGATATAGCAGGTTCTGTATTTAACTGGTTCTCTGAAAGGTGTATGGTTCTTAGGATGTGTATAATATATGAAGATACTATGTGGATTACTGCAGGGGTTCTATAAGGTGTATGGAGCAGTGATCTCTAAGATCTTTACTACATATGTGTTAACTGCAGGGGTTGTATAAGGTGTATGGTAGCTAGTGATCTCTATAATCTATATACTATGTGGATACTGCAGGGGTCTATAAGGTGTATGGTGCTTAGTGATCTCTATAATGATCTGTACTACATATGTGTTAACTGCAGGGTTCTATAGGTGTATGGTGCTTAGGATGATCTCTAAGATCTTGACTACATAGGTGTAACTGCAGGGGTGTATAAGGTGTATGGAGCTAGTGATGTCTATAAGATATTACTACATATTGTGTTACTGCAGGGGTTCTATAAGGTGTATGGATGGCATGTGTATAACTGTTCTCTAAGATCTTGTGTACATATGTGCTTAACTGCAGGGTTCTATAATGGTGTATGGAGCAGTGTTAACTGTTCTCTAAGATCTTTAGTACATATGTGTTTACTGCAGGGGTTCTATAAGGTGTATGGAGCAGTGTTAACTGTTCTCTAAGATCTTTACTACATATGTGTTAACTGCAGGGGTTCTATAAGGTGTATGGAGCAGTGTTCTGCAGAATAGCAGACGAAGAAGAGGAGTATATGGAAGAGGATGGAGAGAGACTGCCTTGCTTTGGTGAGTGGCTATCAACAGATGTCATTATAACTGAGAGAAGAGAGTGGGGACCCGGGTTGATTGGGGGGTGCATGAGAGAAATTACTGTAAAAGAAAGAAGGAAGAAAGTCAAAAAATAAAAGAGAAGGTATAGACAGATACTGCTATAAAATGTTTAAAGAATTGTGAGAATCGAAAGCCGTTGCAAAAACGCACGTTTCCTCTCTCCACAGGACTGTCAGCTACACCATATGAAGAGGTCATCAGTACTGAACAGTAGTGTGCCACCATTCACTGTGTTATATACTGATGTCTGTATGTGTATGTAGGTCCATACATTCTATGCCTACTGGCAGAGTTTCTCCACTCTCAGATCATTTGCCTGGGAAGACGTCCATGACCTCAGACAGTATATATACTTTTACTTATCAGTACATAGGTCATATACTTACAGTACATAGGTCATATACTTATAGTACATAGGTTATATACTTACGGTACATAGGTCATATACTTCCGTACAAGGTCAATACTTAGTACATAGGTCATATACTTACGGTACATAGGTTATATACATAGGTTATATACTTACAGTACATAGGTCATATACTTGCAGTACATAGGTCATATACTTACAGTACATAGGTTACAATATACTTACAGTTGTAGGTTGTTGGATTGGGAGGGGGGAGGGAGTAAGCAAAATAATATACTGGCCTGGGACAATAATCATATTTCAGAAGGCTCCGTCTCACATGTCAGAGTGTTTGGCCTACTTTTCTAACTCAGACACGTTCTTCATCGCCAAGTACTGTAGTACTTAGTATGGTGACACAGGTTGTCCTGCATTATGCCCATACATTTAATCCAGAATAGCTGGCAACCACTACGCGGTCTGAGCCACTCTGTAATTATGCCACCGTTATAGTTTTAGGTACTGCTCATATCATCACCCATGGAGCCACAGTGCCGTAGATAACTTGTTCAACTTTCTCCGTTTTAACCCAGAGAGCTATTTGAGATTTAGTGAAGGTGTAGGAGAAAGGTAATGCGTGTGTCTATTTGTCGCCAGGCTCCCAACAGGAAGGTGCAGAGGTTGATGGAGAAGGAGAACAAGAAGGAGAGATCCGCAGCTAAGAAGAAACGCAACGAAGCAGTCAGGGTAAGTAACAAACATGTCAAACAATCTCTCCGTGTTGGTGTTGGTTGGGGGGGGGGTGTGTGTTGTGTGTTGTTTTTTGTTTTTGTGTGGGGGTGGGTGTTTTGGGGGTTGGTTTGTGGGTTTGTGGGGTGTTGTGGGGTTGTGGGTGGGGGTTGTTGGTGTTTTTTTTTTTGGTTGGGTTGTTGGGTGTTTGGTGGGGTTTGGGGGGGGTGTTTGGGGTTGGGGGGGTTGGGTTTTGGTGTTTTGTGTTGTGGGGTTTGGGGTGGGGGGTGCAATCTTTATATGTTTCTCTCTCTCTCTTGTCTCTCTCTTGTTCCTGTCTCTCTCCTCTCATCCTCTCCATCTCTCTCTCTCTCTCTCTCTCTTATTCTGTCTCTCTCTCTCTTATTCTGTGCAGCAACTGGTGTCCTTTGTTCGTAAGAGGGACAAGCGGGTGCAGCAGTATAGGGTACGTCAGTGTATTATCCATGTAGTATTGGCAAGTGATGCAAACCTACAGTACCTACCTATATAGACCATTACTTACTACAGCTCTGAATACAGCGTATATTCCTAGCACCGGGTTGTTTGAAGTTGGACTATAAAGGCCATTACTTACTTCATCTCACAAGCAATGGTAAAGTACATACTTGCTCACGAAAATGTACTGAATTTACTTAGCTAAAAAGGTGAGTGTGGGACATGTTTTAAAAATCCTCTATATCTGTGTTAATTAATCCTCTCACTTAACCATCTCGACTCTGCCTCTGTCAATTAACCCTCTCACCTCTGCCTCTGTTTAACCCCCTCAACTCTGGTTGAGACAGGAGTCTTTGGAGGAGAAGGAGAGGGAGAGGAAAAAGAGAGCTGAGGAGAAACAAGCCAGAGATAAACAGAGGAGGCTCAGGTGAGTTATTCCATGATGTCATTATGATGTAATGATGCAAATTGTGCCTTAACATAATGATGATGTAATGCAGTCAGAAGGTAGTGTCTGGTTCCCATACCACAGGGAGAGACAGGAGGCCCAGGAACGGTACCAGGCTCAGAAATGGGAGGAGTCATTGGAACAGGTGGGTGTGGTCTTGTCTGCAACTGAAGGCATATCTTGCTAGACATGCGTAGTTTATCAACTAAAGGCCCTTTCGCTATTTCCACTGCACTCTCCAGCTATAGTCAAGGTATTCAGGATGGTTGGTTGGTCTGTCCTTCCCCCCACTTGCTTGTTAAAAGTACAAACAATTTAGGCCACCCTATATTTTCACTGCACTCTCCAGCTATAGTCAAGGTATTCAGAATGGTTGGTTGGTCTGTCCTTCCCCCCACTTGCTTGTTAAAAGTACAAACAATTTAAGCCACCCTATATTTTCACTGCACTCTCCAGCTATAGTCAAGGTATTCAGGATGGTTGGTTGGTCTGTCCTTCCCCCCCACTTGCTTGCTAAAAGTACAAAATATTTAAGCCACCCTATATTTTCACTGCACTCTCCAGCTATAGTCAAGGTATTCAGGATGGTTGGTTGGTCTATCATTTCACCCACGTTTTTCAATAAAAGTACGAAAGGGTTGGCCCATTATCCGCACTTGGCAAATACTAGCAGGACGCCACCAATCTCGCAGTATAATACTATGTTACGTGTTTCATCCCAAACTGTAACCCACGACGTCGATTGTATCACTTCTTCTCAGGATCTCCTGTCGATGGAGGCGAGACTGGATGCAGAGTACGGTCGTGAGGGGGAGGAGGATGAGGAGAGAGATGTGGGGTACGAGGAGGGAGGAACTTTCTGTCACGCCTGCAACAAAATGTTCAAGTCTGACAAGGCGTGAGTTTTGGGATAACAAAATACAGTACATGGGGAGTCAAGACCTGTGTATTTGACCACTGAGCTCAAGAGGGAACAAGGGATCATAGGATAATATCTCATGAGTTCGGGGTGCACTATAGCCCATGCTTATGAGCCCTCTGCTGGCCTGCTTTGCTAGAACTATCGAAGGTGTTACTACATAAAATAGGTGGGGATTTCATATTCGACCACATAATATATTGAGCAGGTGTAATACTCTTAATATTATTAGTTAGGTTCCACTGCATTATGTTAGTGTTAGTTAGGTTCAACTGCATTATGTTAGTGTTAGTTAGGTTCAACTGCATTATGTTAGTGTTAGTTAGGTTCAACTGCATTAGTTGCATTATGTTAGGTTCAACTGCATTATGTTAGTGTTAGTTAGGTTCAACTGCATTAGTTAGGTTCAACTGCATTATGTTAGTGTTAGTTAGGTTCAACTGCATGTCGTTAGCATTATGTTTCGGTTCAACTGCTTACGTTAGCATTATGTTTAGGTTCACTGCATTATGTTAGTGTGAGTTTTGTTCACTGCATTATGTTAGTGTTCACACTGCATTATGTTCGTTAACTGCATTAGTTAGTGTTGTTAGGTTCAACTGCATTATGTTAGTTCAACTGCATTCTGTTTTAGGTGTCACTGCATTATGTAGTGTAGTTTAGTTCAACTGCATTAGTTAGGTTCAACTGCATTATGTTAGGTTCAACTGCATTATGTTAGTGTTAGTTAGGTTCAACTGCATTAGTTAGCATTATGTTAGGTTCAACTGCATTATGTTAGTATTAGTTAGGTTCAACTCCATTATGTTAGGTTCAACTTCCACTGTTTCTCTGCAGATTTTCAAACCACGAGCAATCCAGGAAACACAGAGAGAACGTGGCAATACTGAAACACCTGCTGGAGGAGGAGGAGGAGAGGGAGATTAGAGGTTCATCACAACAAACAACACAACAACAAGAAGTGATAAGCAGCAGTCAACAACAACAGATACACAACAAACAAATGATAAACAACTAACAATGGCTGATAAACAGCAAGCAACAATAACAGCAGATAAACAAGAAACAATGGCATCATCAATGGAGAATCGAGTGTTGGGAAGCAACAGACAAAAGAAGTGAGAGCTGAAGAAAATCCGTTGTCAAATGATGAAGGGGAAGTTGAAGAGGTGGAGGGGGAGGGGAAAGAAGGGGAGGAGAAAGGGGAGAAGGAAGTAGAGGTAGAGGAGGAAGAGGTGGAGGGGAGGAGAAGGGAGAGAAGGAAGTAGAGGTAGAGGAGGAAGAGATGGATGATGTAACCGAAGAACTACAGAACCAGCAGCTGTCAGACTCAGACAGTGATCCTGACTTGACTACTGCATCCTCAATCAGTATGTCAACAAGGATTGAAGTTAGAGAGGACTAGTTTATTTTCTGCTCTGCACACAATATTTTCCAATCTCTCCCTGAAAAGTTTCCTGTTTGCCAACACCTGTCAACATGACCCTGTTCTTCAACACAGTGTATACATGTATGTGTATTTCCAGGATCGTGGGTCAGGATGGTATGAAGCAAGCTCATGACAACCTACCTAGGGCTGAGGACACACCCACTTCTGTGGGTGAGAGGGCGCACCCTGAGAGCTCCGACTGATGAGTTAGTCACACAATAATGCATTACATCGACGTGAATTCCATTATCGCCTCCAGAAGTCTCCTCCACCTTCAATGTGTGGCAAAAACCCTTGTTGCATGGACCTATCATGCCCATACATTGAGTTTGAAAGAGAATTTTTCTCATCCATAAAGTTGCATTGCCTTTTCCTTGAGATCCATATCACCGTCATTTTTCAGTGACTGGTTTTCGCCATCAAAGTCAAAGAGAAAGACAAGGAGAAAAGGCAGAGCTAAAGAGACAGTCAATACTTCCACAAAGTCGCAAACAGCTCAGGTAAGAATGCAATATATACAGAGCCTATGGCTGTAGGGTTGCAACGTACATATATATCATTGTCTCAATAATACACAGCACGAACTCTACAACACTGTGTATTGACAGTTTTTGCCATCTTGTTTTGAGTTACGTAGCTACCTACCGATAGTGGTGTTTCCGGAACCAAGATTTCAGGCGGATTGAGATCTAATTTTGAGAAATCGTGTGGCCTTGTTTCTCTCATTCAGACTCAACCTGAATGCCTCCAGTGCAGTGTTTGCTCAACTGTCTTCAACTCAAGGTCAGTTTCACCTTCATTCTCTGGTATATATACATACTCTAATACATCAAACACTCAGACAGAAATGCACATGGAGGTGGTGTCTTTATGTGGCGAGAGCAACGCGTAGTGTTCTAGTCGTCTGAGTGCGGATCAAACTAGTACATTATATCGGTAGGTTCACTGCCCAGTCGTACTGGCACTGAACAGCTGATTTAATGTGTCTGTATACGATGATCAAAACGTGATGAAACTGTGCTCAAAATGAAACCCTTACTTCCATGGTACCACCATTTTGCATTTCTTTCTAGTAAAGAAACAACCCCATGCTCTCTCTCTCTCTCTTCCTGTCCTTCGTCACTCGTCGCTTTCTTACTTGGGATACGATGTCGCTACCAAAGGTCCGTCTGTGTTGTGCTACATTGACTGAGGAGTTCTACAGGACGGAAATGTCGCAATATCTGTCAGTAATATACGTTGCATCCTACGACCTAGCTCTCGATCTAGCTCGTTTCCCTCCTCATCCTGCTATGACAGGAACAAGCTGTTTCGCCACATAGAGACGACGGGTCACGCCATACCTCCCCTCCTCCTCCTCCTCCTCCTCTTCCTCAACCAATCCCAGCACAAGGCAAAGAGAAAAAACAAGACAAACAAAAAGTAGCATTTTGCAAAAAAAATCTAGCTATTTATTTATACTTCCACAATCGTTCATCTTCCAGTTGTTTTTAGTACAACGTTGAGAGGCTGACATGGAAATCATGAAATCGAAATTGACAATAATTAAGAAAACTGAATTAATATATATTCCACAAATAATAATGACACCTGGAAATCCGATGGTTTATCCATATAAGTTCATACAAAAATTTGCAGGAGGGACATTGAAATGACGTGCGAGTTTGGTGAAGAGAGGAATGTGCTAACGAGTACATCCCTTGCTAACAGAGTATATAGTGAGATGCTGGACTAGTACCAAACGGGGTTGCCACAGTTACCACGCACTGACTGGTGTTGTCATGGTTACCACTGGCACCGTTGTTCTAGTTGTGAGGTTGGGGAGTGTGGGGAGTGGAGGGAGGGAGGGAGTGAGGGTCACCACAGGCGATGCAGGTGAAGATTCCTACTGAGAACTGTCGCACGTCGTGAGTGAAACGAAGGGCGTCGAGGAGGGGGAGGAGCTCCAGCAGAGCCGTGTCGTGGGGCTCCGAGAACCACGACTTGATGGGTACTGCATTGTCTGCGAGAGAGGAGAGATGATGTAATGATGACATCGTAAGTAATGACATTGTTGAGGTAAATTATGCACACAAAAAGTTCTGAGTGGAGGGTACAGGTGGGCATTATTTAGAGTGTGTGTAGTCAAATGGAAAATTAGGCTGAGACTGCGAGTGGACTCCACACCTCATCCCTCCTCTCTCTCTCTCTCTCTCACCTGGATTCTGTCTGTAGGCTGCTGGTGAATTATCAACTATGAATATGCTGGACAAGTCTTGAGATATGGTTGTCAGCTTCTTCGTATAGCCATTGAAGTCCATAGTACAGTGCTACAGAGAGGAGATGAGGAGAGAGGAGATGGAAGAGAGAGAGGAGAGGAGAGGAGAGAGAGGAGAGAGGAGATGGAGGAGAGAGAGGAGATGAGGAGAGAGAGGAGATGAGAGGAGAGGAGAGAGAGAGAGAGAGGAGATGGAGGAGAGAGAGGAGAAGGAGGAGGAGAGAAGAGAGAGGAGGAGGAGAGAGAGGAGAGAGAGGAGATGGAGGAGAGTGAGAGGAGATGGAGAGATGGAGAGGAGAGAAGAAAACGTGACCTTATATAGTGAGTCAGTTTTTATGTGTACAAGCTACATGTATGAAAAGCTAGGCTATAAGGCATATGACAACAGTTTAATTCCTCGAATTCATGCTGAAGGCACTGGTGATTTTAACTATCTGAGAGGCATATACATAAGACAGACACTATCTCATCTATACATATATACATGTATTGTAGGCTCATACTTGTCTGAAGAATTTCTGTTTGAAGATTTTTCTGTTGTTCTCCAACTTCTTTGCAACTGCCATGCCGTACATCTGGGTGTACCAAGAACACAAACGTCACAAAGAGGAACATATGTAGAGAGAGACTTAACAACTGACCTCCATACTGGCTGTAAAGATTACGACATCGTACCACTGACTGACCTACACACACACACGACAGTAAATGAAAACCACATTGAGAGAACAACTAAGTACTCTAACACCATTGACGAATAATTATCCTATATACAACAGCTATAATGGAACGCATTAGTCATAATTAATACACTCGCTCATGAAATTCTCAGCTGTCTTTCCCCGCAGTCAGCAAGTCATAAACCCGCATTAATCACCAAGTCAGCCCACTCTCAAATTACTCCTGAAATTCGAACTAAATTGAACTGCGAGTACGCCACAATGTGGTCACTGGCAAAAATACTTTCTTGATTAGTAAAGTGTTCCTGATTGGTGAAATCTCCCGATTGGTTAGGTGTCCTGATTAGTGAAGTGTCCTGATCATCGAGGTGTCCTGTTATCCTATTGTATGTACGAATTTTACCACTCACAGAAAAAGTTGTGAAATACATGAATTCATCATAAAGACCACACCCACCCATTAATCCACGCCCAATAAAACATGCCCACCCCAAAGACCACACCCCTGGTTACCATGGAGAGGAAGAAGTCGACATGCGGTCTCTTGTGAACAAAGAACCTGACTGGGTGGTTCTCGATCTTGACCCTGACGATGAAGTCAGGGGGGGTGGTGGGGGTCAGGGGGCTGGGGGAACTGTGGGAGGGGGGTGACATCATCGTAATTCAGATCAAGGGATCATTACCATTATGATCCTATTGGATCTTTGCTATGAAGACAACAGGAATTAATACCAGGAATACAAATGGTGTGTTTGTATCTGGAGGTAGAATTTGCGAGCCAAGCAGGCCAACCTGTAGTCTTTTAAATTTACAGATTTTTATGTCATTTTGTCACCATACTGTTCCGTAGCGTTTTACGTATTTCTGTCGTTAGCCCATTGCGTTGCCTCGCTTCGCTACAGAAAATGGATCACGAATCTAGAAGCCACAAGGGCTGGCTACTGGCAGTTGTAAATATGTGGGACAACCATAATCAGCAGCACTCACTCTTGGCCAACTCCACTAATGCCTTCAGGACACCACAAACTATACTTCTTACTATAGGGAACATAAATGTTTAGGCTTCAGAGCTCTCCACTCTCTTCTTCTTCAAGACTCTCCGCTCTCTTTTTTTCCTTCAAGAGCTTGGCACTAATAATCTAGTACCAAACAGTGTTGCCACGGTTACGACGTACAGTGGAACTCCTCTAATCTGGACACCAATTGGACAGAGAGAAAGTGGCAATACACGTATTAGAGAGGTGTCCTTATGCCAGGGGTTAAATTGCACGCAAGAACTGTTGGTTGAGAGAAAGAAAAGATGTCCTCATTAGGGAGGTGTCCCTAGAGAGATGCTACTACATTTTCAACATGCAGAAAGTGTACATGATTATTTAGAACCACAATGCTTGGCTTGAGATTATTACCGAGTATTCCGCCAGGTTAGACTCTTGATTGACACACCTGGCGTGGCCAATGTCGCAGCGGAGCTATCTACGAGTTTATAACCGGATGCCACCCTCTTCCAACACCCCGTCCCTTCGGAGTCTATCCATGCATCAGCTCTCCATCTCCATCTGAAATCGTTGCAATCTGGACACACCTGGCTCGGCTCTATGTTGGCCATGCTCTAGCTCGTTCTACTCGATGGTCGTACCAATACGCCCCCAGCGTACTATTTTGATACTTTTTCCAGCATTCTCCTACCACCAGACAATTTAATACATCAAACGCTGTGTTGTTTCGTGACTCATTTATTGCTCAAGCCGTCAACCCAAGAATCAATTATTATCGCCTGTGCTCACCTTCAGATACTGCGATCGTCTAAACCCGATCTAGCAGTATGATTTCTTGGTTAGTCCTTCAGGTCAAGCGCACATGGTGGCGTCAGGCCGCGCCTCCACGCCCGCCGTCTTCCCCATCACAGCGAAGACCCTCAATCATCACTGGGAAGCCCAAGCGCTTTTTTACTCCGCCAATGTTTGTGGGCCGCATCTGCACGTTGTTTCAATGGCTTCCTGCGCTACTGGCGACTGGCTCACGGTCCCCTCGCTCGAATTATAATCCGCGACGTCATCTATCCATGTCTGAGTATCGCTCGATTCGCGACAACCTCAAACCCTATCTTCCGATCAAGCCTCTAAGAACCGACCACAGTTATTGCCAGGGCTTTCAAGTTACCAGGGCGGTACGGACAAGACTTGTCCCCGTGTGCTTGCTCGTATATTGCTCTATCGAAGCGTGAGCCGGTCCTCTGTTCCGCTTCAAGAACAACTTCTCTGTTAACTAAGAGCGCTCGGTGCGGAAGAATCCGTGGGCAGCCACTCAGGTGGGGCATGGGTCACCAACCTCGCTATCAGGCATAGCTTCAGAGCGCTGCAGCGCGAATGAGCACGCCCTGCCGGCTGGTGCAAGACTCGCTAATAATAATTTTGGCGGCTGGCAAAATCCGCGTATCAGTGTACGTCAGTTTCCCGAGGGCGCTCGCCTCCCGTTTCGGTCCCCTTGCCAAACAACTACTAGTCGGCCGCTAAGCCGTTTTCTCCGATCAGCATCTAGTTACCTATCATCTTTGTGTGTCTCATCCATCTTCAATCTCTGTTTTTTCACTCGTCATTAGTATCCTATTCTCGTTTGAGTTGCCCGTGGGTCACACACTTGATATCGATCTAGTGTTGTAGGATAGTTGGCGTGCGCGCCCTCCTACCTCCAGTGGAGGTTCCGCTATGGCGGAAAATTCTTCGTCCAAAGCACTAGGAGTTTTCCCGCGTGTCGTGCCGCGTTTCCACTCCCGGAGTGCCGGTTTGGACCCCCACGGCTCTGTTGCCCAATGCATTTGGCCCAACAACCCCTTTTTGGTTATGCCGGTTTGGCGGGCCGCCAAAACCCAAAAGGGCGGGCATTTTGGCGCTTTAATAGGGTCCTCCTTTTGGCCTTAAACTTTTAAGGCGGCATTCCCCGCCCCGCTTTTTGGCTGGGGCCTTTTTTGCGTTTCCCGTGGTTTTCCCCATTTTACTTCGGAAAAAAAAAACCACGGAAACACTTTGACCTCAGTCCACTTTTTCTTCCCTCTTTCCC